CTGATGTGCCCAGTTTGGCTATTTTTTCTGCTTCCAAACGCTCGAGCGTCCTCTTGTGCATTTGAGCGTGCTTTCCTGGACCTTGAATTGTAATATTTTGGTTTCCTGTGATCCATATTGAACCGCTACTTCTTCGTCATGATTTCTTTAGCACTTTTAGCACCATAGCACCATTTCTTGTGGTTTTACCTTCAAAACGCAAATATTATAAAAACGTCAGCTCAATTTCCTATCTTATGCTTTATATGTCGTAAAACCTTGAATTCCATGCATTCCACTACATAACTATTGTATAATTTAGCCTAAAAACATGGCAAACCAAAGGTTTATCAATTAGCAATGCCTTGTTGCCCCATAGTCAGTTGAGTTCATCGAATAATCAACCTGTTATACCTATTTAGTCACCGTGTGCATTATCCTTTCATCTCGATTCTTCGTCCCATTAACCTTGGGCAAATAAACGTATCAACTCATGTGGTCCAGGGTTAGTTTTTGCCAAAACAGATAATCTTCATTTACAAAATCTAAAGGGTGGGTCATCCCATGACTTATTTTCCATGAATAGATTTACGAGTCCCGTAAATGTCATCCTGATTTTACCGGTCTATGGATAACCTAACCTCTCACTGAGATCGACGAATCCCTTTAGCTTGTCACACAACCTTTAGTCATTAAGGCATGCCCAATGGCATACATACGAGTCTTCATATTTCAGACAAACAAGATATACAACTAAACAAGTAACCCAGAGCATAGGACTATGTGACAACATCAGGTCTAAAGAAAAACATACCCAAATAACAAGAGACATTAGCTATTGATACTATCTGTGAGATTTTCCTGCAGTATCTCTTGGCGGATCAGTTTAAATCGAGCTATTCTCTAATAGGTCTACCCACGAGTCAGTTAAGACATCTCCATGTCTGCAGCGCACGAGGTCTCTAGCTTGCTTCTCTATGCAAGTAGCTGAGTCGTGCTGGTCTTACCCGAGATCATCAATGACCATTCTCGGCATCTTTAGACTGGGAACATATTTTAGGCAACAAACACATAGTGTCATTTAGTACTCATGATTGTGATCCTTATCACATATCCTCAATGTGACACTCATCCTATTCCAAAGGCTCTATCGAATTACTCATATCCAACATGTATAAACGTATAATATTTGAGATAGGCAATATGAAACTATATAAAGAATGCTTTTATTCATTAATTTATTCATAACAATAAAGAAGTACATGGGTCCATCTAACTCTCAAATTGTCTTTAAGACACCTATATACTAACACGACTAACATGATTTAAAATCAAGTATGCTCTTAGTCAATATTGTTAGTCTTCTAATAACCAGGTCAATTCTAATCATACTAGCAATGTGGTTTTTTGGATTTATTTTAGGAATTTAAACTTCTTTTGTAACAGGAGAAGTTTTTTTCTCTCGTGCTGTCTCAGTTTGATTTTCATGCCTTTAAAAAAAAAAAAAGTAAATGGTGTACCCAACATAAAATGGGTCAGTAGGAGATGAAAAACTTATCTGAGAAGTTTAAATCCCTTTATTTCATTTTTACATATAACTACCATTATTCATGAAAGAAACCAACCTTTCATCCCATACCATTTATATCATTTGGGACGGGAATACTCAAACAACAACATATAACTTATAATAAGATTTTGTTTTGTCATTTTACTATTTAATATCAATCTACGGTCCGATCAATTTTATATTGTATATAAGGATGAAAATTTAAGTTGATATAACATAATACGATACAAATAACTCTTTAATCTTAAGGTGTTTCCTTATTATGTGAATTGACACGACAAAGTAAGACCCAAATAGCTTGTATATTGAATATTATTTTCCCCATTGTCGTGTTGTCACAATGCGACATGAACAATCTATAAGAAAAATAATGCGAGTCAGTTTTGTATTTGCAAATCGACACACAACACGACATGAACTTGAATATTGGTCAACCCGAACACAAAATTACCGTGTTATGTAAAAGTCGTGACAACTAATTATATATTATTTGATGTGAATAAGTATCAAATAAAATAATTGTAAAATTATTACGGATAATATAAACTTATATTGCATAAGAATAGTAAATCTTACACCAAAATCTTAATCGTTGAATTTCATATATCTAACAATTTTAATTTATTAGAAATTAATAATTAATTAATAAGTGCAATCAAATAGCATGTGAATATTATATTTCACGTGCAAACGATCCCATTTTGTGCCCCAATCCGACATCATATAGCCCCAAAATTTGACTAAGGTTAACACGAATCAGGAATAAAATGGACGAGCACAAATCACAGACATATAATATTAAATGTGATTACCGTAAGCAAGTGATAACATGTCGTTATATTAATACAAATACCATATGATATTGCTACATTGGCATCATTAGTAATAAAACTTAAAATATGACAGTAGCCTCTAACTTAAAACAAAGAGTTAATATCAACTAACATATGGGTGGGAAATAAGGGGAAAATTTTGTACTAAATAAGTGAGTGGGAAGTTGGGTATTTATATAAAGAGTTAAGTGCTTTGGATGACTAAGATAGTCATGATGCGTTTTTCATCAAATTCGCAAAACTTTAAATGGAAAAAAAAAACTAATGAATTTTAGGGATCACATAACTCTTTAGGGTGTGTTTGGTACAATATTTTTTTTAGATTCCTCATAAAGTGACATTGATAATCCTATTTACCCATGTTTGATACAAGAATTGTGATTTTTTTTCGTGAATTTGATTTTTTCAAGATTCGAATTTATGTACACTTTTTAAGGCAAAATATCATTAAAGAATACCATCAGGAGTGATATTTTTGGATTCCAGATAGGTGGAAAAATATTTGGCCTTAGTGCTGCTAGTACGGTGATGGCGCTGCTAGCGCGAAACAACATTTTCTTCTCGTGCTACTAGTGCAATGATGACACCACTAGCGTCGAGTCTTCAAGCAATATTTTATTTCCTCGCCAATAACACGATGATGTCTCATTTAGCGCCAACAGTGCAGTTTGTAAAATTACTCTACATTTCTAGTAATATTTGACAATTAACCAAACATAAAAATCAGGAAACTTGAGTAAACATTTCTGATAATATTTTGGCCTACCAAATAGCTTTATTTTACCATCATATTTCTGATAATCGTGATTCCAAGGGCAATTTTTTTTCCCTCTATCAAATACGCCCTTAAAAAAATAAGAAAAATTATAAAAACAGTCTCATGAAAGGGAAAGGCAGAGCGCGAAAATGAATGCCACCAGCGAAAAATATTTTCAACCTAATACAAAATAGACAAAAATAACAGCCCTGGTTTGTATTTGTAAAGCTTGTCTTAATTTTGAAGTTTCAAATGAGAAACCGAAATACTACATCTCCAAACAACCTTTCATCCATTACGCGCATGATGGAACCATCTATGTTCAATTTTTTTTTGGGTAGACATCTATGTTCAATTCAATTGCAATTGAAGTCTCGTAACTGCGTTAATATATTTTTTAGTACATATAATATGGTAGGGGAAGGATCAGTTTACAAATACACAATATTCTCCCGAAAAAATACAGTGTAACTTAATGTTCTTCCGGTAAAACATAATATAGTTTATAAGAATTTATAAATAAATTTTTTTATAAATATAATCTTTCTCAACATGATACGCCACAAACTACAATCTAAGTGAAATATTGTCTTTTTAGTAATTGTAAAATAATGGGGTTCAATGAAAATCTCTTTGAGGATTGTTATTCTCTTTTTTCTTTTTCTCCCTGTTCCCGATAAAAACATTAACTGAATAAAAGCATGTGTTTTATATATTTTTCAAATTGTAAGTGCAAGTATTGAATGAAAGAGGAAAATAAGTAACTTAATTAAGGATTGAACTTCCGATATCTATACTAACTAGAAGTTGGTTTTGTTCATAATTTAAAGGGAGATGATTTTCTTCTGTCATTGAAGAAAAATCATCTCCTGTCACCTCACAATAGTTTTTTTTTTTCTTTAACTTTTTTTTTGTTTTCAAAAAAATGGTGGGATCCACCATAATATTGTTTCTATGGCATAAGACAAAAAACTGCCTGTAACATAAGAAAAGATTTAGCCTAATTTAAAATGGAGTTTTAATACTCAATTACTTTTTTTCTTGAAAATATAGTAACCTTAATTTTAAAATTAAGCATTATATCTTTTGAATGGACACCAATACTAGTTTTTATGCTGAATTTATAATTAGAGAACAAGGATAAAGTCCAAATGATGTAGTCATTTTCAACAAAAAGAAAAAGAAAAAGAAAAACAAACCTTTCATCAATTAGATCATAACATGGGATATAAAGATAAAATTATGTCACCACATTAGTTTTATAGTAAGGCAGAAGTTATATGTACCATTAATACATAGATAGGAATCTGTCTGTCCATTTTGCTCAAAGCTGCTTTATGTGCACTTTACTTGTGTTACTATTTCATTATTATCTTTCCATTTAAGCTTAAACATTGAAAATAAGAAATATATAATTATATCTAATTATTTAATATAAATAATATGATATGAATATATTAATAAATATCAAGCAATATAGGTTTTTAAAAAGAAGGGAGATGATTTTCTCCTGTTATTGGAGAGAATTCATCTCCTGTTATCTCACATTAGTTTTTTATTTAAGGTTTTTTGTTTTTGTTTTTAATTAAAATGGTGGGACCCAATATAAGATTGTGTGAGTGACATAAGAGAAGAAAATTCCAGCAACATAAGAAAAGATTTCTCCTAAAAAAGAATTGTATTTTGGAAATTATTTTACCAATTTTTTTTTTTTTTAATAAAAAAGTAGTTATTCCTTCAGCTACAAATACAGAGGGAGATTTTATAACACTGTTTGGCCCACCCACGGAGTTGAATAAAATCACCCATAGCACTCTCCAAACGAACGATCTCACTTTCAAATAACTAGCGGCAACTCAATTCCCCAATCTCAGATCAACGAAAACCGCTGATTCGCCGAAAACCCTCCGTTTCACGACGTTCCCTTCGATCACGGAGACGAGGAAGCACTGCACAGCTCCGTTCTAGTTTTCTCTGAATTGAATCTCGTCGGGAAAATAGCCTGAAAAGTGAACGTAATCGGAGGGTTTTGATTTCCGGCAGGGAGCATTGCGCTGTTTACTTTCCTAGCTCGAATTGGTTGAGGAATGACGGATTAAGAAACTTGGAGGTAAATTCGCAAGGGTTCGTCGCCGGCGGGGAGGGGAGGAAACCTAATTTGTGAACTTCGTCTTTTTTTCTTCCTTGAGCGAAGAGGAAAATCGCAGAGTGAAGCGGCGTTAGTGAAGTTTAATTTTGGGGGGTTTTCACGCTTTGAACGTGTGGAACAGCCACCGGCACAGAAGGCGTAAGAAGAAGATAGTAATCGCAATTGATTTCTGCTAGAATCGTGCGCTGTAGCTGTGCTTTGATGAGTTATAAATTCCCGTCTTAAATTGTGATATAGGTTTGTCCACACAACATGGGGTACGATTCGGATAGCCCCTCGCAAGACGGGAGGGATGAAGGTGAGTTTGTTCAATGAAAATTGTAGAATAGCAGCATTAGAAGTAACAGGAACAAGGAGAAAAAAAGAAAGCTACAATAGGTTATCAGGTTGCATAATTGGATGTATAGTCTAGTTGCTATAGTTGTTGTAGGCCCGATACTTATTCCGTTCTCTTGTTCTATCTGTTTATCAAATTTAGTCTTGAGAGTAGGATTGAATGGATGGCATCTATGTTTATGGCTATGTGCTGTAATCTGTAAACTAAAGTTTACATGTGAGTTTTAAGTGGTGTTATTGCATGTAGTTTAGTTTCTTGTTTGGCATAGTTTATTAACTCAATGTTTGATAAATTCGAATTGATAGATGATGAAGAAGAATATGAGGAGTCTGGCAAGGGTAATCGTTTTCTTGGGTTCATGTTTGGAAATGTTGATAATTCTGGTGATCTCGATGTTGATTATCTTGACGAGGTAATTTTATGCAGCCTTTGATGTTGGTTCATGTGTACTTGGTGGTCAAAATGTTTGGAGAATCAAAGATTGAGTGGATGCATGCATATATGTTACGTTTAGATTGCTCATGTATTTTTTAATTGTCTGTTATTTTCAATGATGCGCTATGTACATCCTAAGTAGTTATACAGTTCAAAGTTCCTGAAATTTCTAAGCTAATGTAGCTATTTACGATTGTTAAGTGGAGGGCTTTTAAGTTTCTAAAATTTTATACTAGAGAATTTAAAATCACTTTTACTGTGTTTGAGAATGAGATATTTTTTTTTTGTGGGGATATGTTCATCCTAGAGATTTGCATTGTAACTTCTCAAAAAACAAAAAAAGAGGCTATTTGGAAGCCTGTGTGCAGGATGGTTCTCTAAACTAAAAGTATTATATACAATTCAACTTTGGAGGATTTAATTTAGTGTGCAAATATTCATTGATCGTTTGCTACAGTGGTTAAGATCAAGTTGTTAGCTTACAAAAGGTCATTTATGGAATGAGTTTAGGCATCAGAATTTACAGCTGGGTTTAGAGTGCGTTGGGAGACTGACCTAAAATTTCTGTGTAATAGGATTCATATTGATGTTTATGCTTCATGTTTTTAACTACTTTTTGTGATGTTGGAATTGGGCATGCCAGATTATCAATGATCCAAAGAAGGATATGTTGGAGATTCTTGGTGGTCTTTCTAGAAGATAATTTTATCTTTTAGGATATGTATTCCTTTTTTTGAAAATTGAATTATTTGATTGTTGAATGAGTATTTGCTTGTTCTAGACCGTTGTTATGCTTCTTCATTTATTTATGTTAATATGTTTTGGTGAAAAACTGTAATGTTGGTCTAAATAAGCATATTTCCTTTTTAGGATGCAAAGGAGCATCTTTCTGCATTGGCTGACAAGCTGGGTCCATCACTGACAGATATAGATGTAAGCCAATCTGAATATTGTTATCTGGCTGTATTGTTTGAGTTTAGAATTCAAAATGCTAATCTGTTGATGTGGTCAACCAGTGTCTAATTGACAGTTTTTCCTTCTATATTTCATTGCTTCCACATCTTCTTCCATTCTGATGATGATAATAATGAAGTCTTGTTTTGTTTGCAGTTGTCAGGAAAATCACCACAAACACCACCTGACGTTGTTGAACAAGGTGAAGTTGCCTGCCAGGAAAAACTATATCATGCAGTTTTTGATATTCTGTTGGTATCATTTTTTTCCCTCATCAACTGAGAGCAATTCGCCCGTGTTTTATTTCTACTGGAATTCTTTCCCACATGAAGTATATTTGGTGGAAAATATGAATATATAATAAGTAGCTATTTTTCTTTTCATGTTGAAGAAGAAAATTTCTTATATCTAAGATATTCTACCATGGTATTGGAGGATAAGAGTTGTCAATCCATGGTGGAACTCTCGTTTCAGGAAAAATATCTTTTAAAAAGATTCTTTTTGTAAAATTAAAACATTGGTAGTCATGCCTGATGCAAGGATTAGTAGTGCCACAAGTCAATAGAAGTAGACTCAGAAAACAAGCTGATATGAAGTTTTAGTGATGGCTTATAACTGGTATTAACAATATGCATGGATAATAGCCATCATCCGTTAGCGGCCATCTAATGTCACATGGCTATTCATGGACTCCTAAAATTTGGGGTGAGTGATAGGTGTTTCTGTTGTCTGTTTGCACCAAAATGAATTTTTTTTTCTGAAGTCGTTATTTGATAGGTGGAGTGCATTTTAGTTGAAAAGAATTGTCTTATAAAAGACTTCATTGGAACCTTTATGGGATTCTTCAATCAATAGGAGGTTAAGGTTTGGTGCAGTTGTGCTCTTTTGTACTGGGTATTGGTGCATTTTAGAACAAAATACAAGAAAAATTGCAGTGAGTGGCTTCTGCTAGTGAAAATTTAATGGGTTGGGATACTTTATATGGCTTTTATGTGAGTCTGGATTTGGATCCTTTCATGTAAGGCCCTAGGTCATCTTGTGCTGGGTCCCCAAAATTCATGCACCGCCCCACAATATTTTTCTGCATAGGGGGTTTATGCCAATGTTCCTTTCTCTCTTGTCTAATGACTTAGTCAATTGAGGGCCTCACATTATTAGCATAACTTCTTTACTGTTCTTTATTGTATTGTCTCTTACTTTGTTGTAGTCCAGAGTGAATCAGATAATTTTCCCTTATTCAGTTAGTCAGTTAGCAATTAGTTAGACTGATTAGTTGGACTGATGACTCATTGCTGAGTCATCCTCAAATAGAGCTCGTGACTTTATCTCCTGTAATCTTTTCTTCAGAAATACTATGGGTTCAGCTCAGTTTTCTCTATGCTCTCATTTTCTTGGATTTTCTCTCACTTTCTCACTGTTTCTCATGGAATTCTAATTCGCATGAGGGTGAGGATTTTGATTTGGCTCTCGTAATTTGTTCAATGGGGCTTCTTTGAGAGATTTACAGAGGGATTTAGAAGGCTTTTTAAGCTGAATTTTATTTATTGTTTTTTATTGCTGGGAGGTTTCTTGAACCTTCTGCTCTGCACATTTCTTCTTTCTTGTGGAAATTTCATTTGATAAAGCTTGTGGACATCAAAGGCATTTGTTTGCTAGAATTTGTAAAGTTATTTGAATTTGATGAAGAGCTTGGTTAAAAGGAGCACCACAATAAGACATCTGTTTCCCCCCCTCTTCTGTGTTAATGAGCCACTTTATATGCTCCTATTTGGATTTCATCTTATGTACTCAATGTGTCATTTGCAGAGTGTGACAACTAGACAATATGCTGTTTTTCTAGTAACTTGTATTTGTCTTTTTTAAATAGTGAACAAATGAATCTTAGTATGAAACTCAAAATTAACTTGATAATATGTCTTTTTTTTTTTGGTAAATAAAAAAAATAAAATGAATCTTAGTATGAAACTCAAACTTAAGTTGCTTTATCGTGAATCTTTTTCTACGAAACAACGAAAACTCTTTCAAAACCACTTACATGTACTCATGCAGTCATGCTACTTTAAGACATCTTGCTTCATGTCTGGTGGTATTTGGTTTCCTACGAAGTTTTCTGTGTTAGTTACTAACTGGGATGCTTTTAATCTTAGATTGTGGTGAAAAAGCTGAAGATGCAGTTGATTATGAAGATATTGATGAAGAGTATGATGGTCCAGAGACTGAAGCTGCCAATGAAGAGGACTATTTATTGCCAAAAAAAGAATTTTTCTCTGCTGAAGCCTCTCTTGAAGCTTTGGAGTCCAGACCTTCTGTCTTTGATGATGAAAATTATGATGAAGAATCTGAACAGGAACAAGACTTAGTGAATAACGATTCTAAAATTGATAACATCTCTTTAGCTGGTAATATTTTTTCCTTGAGTTACACCATTTTGTTATTTCTGTTGCACTGTGTGTTTTTAACTTAAGGTGTGGATTTACATGTTTTAGATGTTGGTTCTGGTCATTATAAAAGGGTAAGAATGTTGGTTCAGGTAATCTAGCTCTAGTTTTTTATTTGCAGCCTTGCTCAGATATAGGCTGGAAACATTTCTTGTCCACAGTGCATGATAATGTTTTGGATTTTGCATTTTTATGGGTCTCCTTATTTTCACCTTAAAGATAGTTTTCATTTTCCTTATGTGCATAAGTGCCACTAGGCTCAGGTTCTGTTGTAAACTATTTTCATATATTTTTATTGACCACGGGAAATAACAGTTGTGCTTCGTGAATTTGATTTTCACTGTTCTTGAAATACATATAAAATTTTAAGGGTCCTTTGGTGGACATGATAAGGAGGATAGGATAGGATATGTTATCATATCCTGCCCTTATCCATTGTTTGGTGAACCAATATGATATGATAACCTTATCCTGTTGGCTCATTTTATCATTTCCACAATAGGATAAGTTATCTTAAGGGGGGACTTGGGTTAGGAATGAACAAGATAGGATAGCATATGTCACATCTCTCTCATTCCAAATGTAGCCCTATGTTTTTCCCTTACGAACATTACTGGGCACGTGAGGGTCAACCCTTGCCACTGACCAGCTGCCGCTGCTGGCCATCAGCCACCTTTACCACCCACTACCGCCACCACCATTGCCATCGGCCATCACCATGAGCTACCATCCACCACCATTGTCACCAGTTACAACCAGCCACCACCATTAAACAGCCACCACTTCGGGCTGCCACCACCCCTAACTACCAAGCACCAACTGTCACCGCCACCGCTATCACAATCCATAGCCATCAATTAGCCACCACAATTGCCACCCGTCAGCGTCATTGTCGCCACCACCACTATTTCCACCAACAACTCTCACCTGCCACCATCGCACCAACAATTACCACCATCGCTGTCGTTGCCACTGGCCACTAGCACCCCCAACCTCCAGGCACCAACCATCACTGCCATCAATCGATCACCACAATTGTCATCAATTATTACCGTCGCTATCACCACCATCCATTGCCACCTATCCCTACAACTAATACCACCACAAATTGAATCAGTCAGCACCAGCTGCCGCTGCCACCACCCACCACTGTTATTAGCCACCGCCCATCAATATTGACGATCAATTTAAAATTTAATTTTTAAAAATTTATTTGGTGAGGATATAATTTTAATATTTTAAAAAAATTGAAAGTTATTTATGTATTTTAATATATTTTATTTGAAATTATGACTTTTAATTTTTTTTAATAATTCAAAATAAGAAATAATGTGTAAATAAATAAATGAAAAAATAGTTTAAAAATCAATTTTAAAATATTATATAAAATTCTATTAAAGGGGTATTTCTGTCTATTTATATCATATCATGACACTATATGATTCGCCTCAAACACCGGATATGATAACATTATCTTAGCAGACTGCTTATCTTGTGCACATGGTAGGATCTGAGCTTATCAGGCTCATATCGTATATCCTACTCTTATCCAGCCCTCATATCCTATTCATTCATATCCTATCCTGTCCACCAAACGAGCCCTAAAAGTGCTAGTTATTATTGGTGATATTTGATAATTTGAATCCTGCTATTTCATAGGCTTCGTACGTTTGACTTGATGAATGCTTGATTAGTAGATCGATTATGTGAATTCAATTTTGTATGTGAGGCTCAATTCTTAATTTACCCAAGCTCAAAGTGACTTGTATTTGGCTCATAGGCTTGTGAGCTGTGTTAGATATAAGCTGTTTATATTATTGTACCACATAGTGTAAATAGGGTCCAAGCCCATCTAATTCTTTATTATAAATAGAATCTTGTGTAGTCTGATTAGACACACAAATTTCTCAACTTCAAGTAGCTAATTGACTGAGAACTAGTAAGTTGATTATATTACAAGTTATCATTATAATAAATCTAATTTATTCCAATTTTATTATACAGTTTGATTTAATATTAGATGGAGTCAAACTTGAGTCTGAGTTTCAGCCTTGAATAATCAGCTTGAATTTGAATATAATAGCTTTGTGTTTGAGCTTCTGATTTAATACCTTAATATTTGACTAAGCTCAATTCAACATCTAATCATTATTTGAGCATTGAAGCTTGGAATCTTAGGAAAGAAAACTAAAAATACTTGGTTTTCCTGAATAAATGGTAGGTGAAGTTAATTTCATATTGGAATCTTTCAGTTCACTTATGATAACTTTTTCTCTTTCAGGGGAGCCAGAAGAGAGCTTTCTGGATGCACTTAAAGGGGAGAGCGCTCCCGAGCATGATTCACAAGTTGGCTCACTGCAGACTGAGGAATTGGACTCTGATGAACAAAAACTTGAGGAGGTCAGTTTCATTTTTGCTTTCTTTTTCTATCTCCTAAATGTTTATTTTTGCCTTTCTAGCTTTTTGATATTTATTATCTTGATTGATATTTAACTTGTGTGCTTTTCTGATGATTACATGAATATAAATACTGGTTTGAAGCTGCGACTGGATATGACTCCAAGTTCTATAATGAATATTTTATGTTAGATTACTTGTAAGTTGTAATATTGCAGATGAAAATATAAATGAATGCAACTATTGAGATGTGGAGAGCTTAGTTAATGTTACATGGACTTGCTAAAAGAGGGCTGATTTTTTAATAAACAGGGTAAATAGAAGAACAACTTCTGCTATTAAGAAAGCTGATTGACCCTGTTACAGCTTTCAAATTCCTTTACGGAGGATAATACCCTAGTTAAAAAAAGCAATTCATTAGAAGGACTTTACCTTCTACTTCTAGCCACCTAATATCACTATTAGAATATTTAGAAATATCCTTTAATATCTTTAAGGGCCCGTTTGGATGAGCTTTTAAAAAAATGACTTTTTATGCATTATTTTTTTTAAAATAACTTTTTTTAAAAGGTAAAGTTATTTTATGTTTGGATATATGATGTGAAAATCACTTTTACATAAAAAAGTTGTTTGGATCTTAAAATAAAAAAGTACTAAAATTACATTAAAAGAGAGATAAAATAGGGATAAGGAGAGATAAAATAAGTATGATAGCATGAGGTTAAAATTGTATTTTAAAAATTTACATTATATTTTTCCAAAAAAAATAATTTATATTATCTTTTAATTTCTGCTTTTTTCAAAAGCAACCAACTATTTGCTATAAAAAAAAGCAACATTTTAACTTTTATTTTAAATTTTGCTTTATTAAAAAGTTGTTATCCAAACATCTAAAAATACTCAAAAGGACTTTTATTTAAAAAAAAAACAACTTTTTTAAGAATAAAAGCTCATCCAAACGGACACTAAATAGTTTAGGGTATCTTTGATAATCTCTTAAGAATAGTTTCTGTTAGAGTAGTTGTTAGAATAGTTTAGTATATATAATAGAGTAGTCCCACATCTTGTGGGCTTAGCCCGTTAGATCTTTTAGTCTCTTTAAATAAAGAGCTCTTGTAAATTGTAACACACAATTATTCAATATACCATTATTCTATTATTCAATCTCAAGTTGGTACCAGAGCTGATTGTTTTGGGGACCCTCGCTTCGGCTAAAACCCTAAGCCCACTGCTTAGGTATTCTCTTCTACTTTGCCGTGCGTCTTTTCGACAAGTCTTCCTTTATGCCGTGCGTCCCTCCGGCTTGTTTCTGCAATTGTCAGAGTTACTGTTCACACCGAAGCACTGTTCATCGATGGTACTGTTCACGCATTACTGTTCATCGACGGTACCGTTCATCGTCAGTACAATCAATGTTCGTGTCCGTACAGTCATTGTTCAAGTTGCCGGAAACACTGTTCCGACATCCTTTTTTGGTCGTTCCAAAACAGTATTTGTTCAGTCAATTTCAAACGAAGGATCTTGGTAAGCTTCGTTACTTCTTAGGGATTGAAGTGGCACAATCTAGACAGGGAATTTCTATTTGTCAAAGGAAATATGCCTTGGATATCCTAGAGGAGACTGATATGTTGGGGTGTAAGCCGATTGATACACCCATGGATCCTATTATCAAATTACTACCCGGACAGGAAGAGCCATTATCTGATCCTGGACGTTATCGGAGGTTGATTGGGAAGCTTAATTATCTCACTGTGACTAGGCCGGAGATTTCTTTTGCTGTTAGTGTGGCTAGTCAGTTCCTTGATTCTCCTTGTGATTCTCATTGGGATGCTGTTGTGAGGATCCTTCGGTACATCAAAGGAGCACCAAGGAAAGGCTTATTACATTGATAAGGGAAATACAACAATTTGTGGTTATTCAGATGTCGATTGGGAAGAATTACCCTCGGATAGGCGCTCTACTTCAGGCTATTGTGTCTTCTTTGGAGAAAACCTGATTTGTTGAAAAAGTAAGAAGCAAACTGTTGTTTCCCGCTCTAGTGCAGAAGCCAAGTATTGTGCAATGAGAGTTGCTACCTGCGAGCTAATCTGGTTAAAGTAGTTGATTCGGGAGCTCCATCTTTGTGAACAGAAACAGTCCATGACTCTCATTTGTGACAATCAAGCTGCGCTACATATATCATCTAATCCTGTATTTCGTGAAAGAACCAAACATATAGAGATCGATTGTCATTTCATTCGAGAAAAGATTCAGTAGATTCAGTCAGGAGAAATCAAAATGACATTTGTCAACTCCAATGATCAAATCGCGGATGTCTTTACTAAAGCTCTTAGAGGTCCTCGTGTTGAATACATTTGTGGCAAGCGGGGTGCTTACAATATATATGCACCAACTTGAGGGGGAGTGTTAGAGTAGTTGTCAGAATAATTCAGTGTATATAATAGAATAGTTCCACATCTTGTGGGTTTAGCCCATTAGGTCTTTTAGTCTCTTTAAATAAAGAGCTCTTGTATATTGTAACACAATTATTCAATATACCATTATTCTATTATTCAATCTCAAGTGTTTCCTTATTTTAGGAGCCCTAATTAAATAATATTTAACTAAGTTAAACTAACCAAAACTCCAGTTAGCTTGTCAAACCTATATATCACAATAACTTAGCAAAATGATATTCCAAAACGATTTATAAAGGGGTGGGGGATTGAATTAAAAATCTTTTTTAAATTTACTGAAATTTCGGACCAAGTTCCCCCTATATTTTAGCTACAACGAGAAAAGAGATATACCTGTGAAATATTAAAAGACTTGATACGACCCAAAATCTTTTCAATACCTAATCTGCTATATCTATGTAACGCCTAGAGTTCCAAAATAAATCCATATGCAACCTAAACAATGGATGCTTACTAGAAACAAAGTCATTAGGAAGAAATGCAACTTGCTACTTAGCTATGACACAGAGACTCAATGAAGGCATAAGAACCACAACGAACTTGAGGGGTGGCAACTTGCTACTTAGCTATGACACACATAGACTCCATGAAGGCATAATAACCACAATGAACTTGAAGGGAAAACAAAATATGCACAAGTGGTTTCAACTTTTCAAAATTGAGCTATAAATATGCCACCACAATGAAAGTAAATTTTATAGACAAAATCAATGACGTATGGGTGTAATGAGAATTTAGGAAATTTATAAAGTAATGTAGATGTCATTGTATTTATTTAGCAAAAATGAGATAAAATACATGTTGGGACCCATTTGCAAGGTAGGGGACTTGGAGTTCCACATTGGTTGTATGGGCAACTAATGTGAGGTTTATAAGACCTTGGACACTCACACCCTATGAGCTAGTTTTTGGGGTGAGGTTCTCTTAAGGATCGTATCAATTGGTATCAGAGCCGTCCACTATGTCTTTCAGTTGCAATCGAGCGGTGCGAGTGGTGATACTGACATTGCAGTGTTCGCCCAAGGCTAGTAAAAGACTAGAGCAAAGCCATCCCGCGTGAGCGCCAGGGCTGCAGATCATGGTGGAATGTTACGATCTTATTCTAAGGTATTAGACTTGGAGTCCCATATTTGTTATATAGGTGACTAATGTGGGGTTTATATGGACTTTGGGCTCTACTACCTCTTGAGCTAGCTTTTGGAATGGTGCATCCCAAGGTTTTTATCAAATGATATCAGAGCACCCACTATGTTTCGTAGATTGGAATTTGGAACTGGAACCCGTGGATTGGACCCTTGGACTTGGAACCCCGGGCTTGGGCTGCGAAGCATGATGAATGCTATGACCCATTTGCAAGGTATGGGATCTGGAGTCCCACATTGGTTGTATGGACAACTAATGTGGGGCTTATAAGGCCTTGGGCACTCCCACCCTTTGAGCTAGCTTTTAGGGTGATGTTCTCCTAAGGTTCGTATTAATACATAAATGTAATAATGATATATAACCATTTATAAATGTAATAAAATCGCGAGTTTAACATTATAGGGGTCACACATGAGAGAAGCAAATTCGATGTGGTTCCGCGGTTTTATCTTGCTAATAACTCACTCCTCCTAAAGGTGGCCTGTCTATTAGGGGTGACTCCATCTTGTTGATAGCCATCTCCAAGGGGCGACCTCTCTTTTAGGGCGGCTCCATGTAGCAGATATCCCTTTCCTCTCAGAATAAAGCATTTATATACATAACTAGGTGTTCCCATGCTATTACCCCTTCTAATTTCTACAGATTCTAACGATCCCCACAATATATATATATTGTATACACTAACCAGAATCATGTAATTATGGTTATTAGGATTTCACCGAGTATCACTGGCTTCCTCCGCCCTTAACATATATATATATATAAAGATGGATTTCACCAAGTATCTCTCATTTCCTCCCTCATTAACACACACACACAAACATATATATATATATATATATATATATATATATATATATATATTTCCATTGATATAGGAAAATTATACTTTCAAATTCAATATTTCATATCCAAATGCAATCCAAACAGACACTAAGTTCAAGCCTAGTAGGCTTTGGAGTGTGGGTAAAGGGGCATGCTTGAGATATAAAATCACTCATGTGCTTGCCCCGAACAAATTAAGTTTTTTGGTAAGTTGCTACTTGACAATATGCCTATAACTTTGCCCCTCTTCTGTTTTCAACTAGTTGTTTTCCATGTTTATTTACTATTTTACTTGATGCACTTCCGAAACATGCAAATTTGTTGGATGCTGTTTCAGTATGGTGCTGAATTAATTGTAAAAAGCTACAGGGGGGGTAGGGGAGAATAAGTAAGAGTAAAATGCTTGCTATATATTGGGATGCACTAACTTGGTGTGTAGTTTGGCTCTTTTGTGTATATTGGTAATTGTAGGTTCAGCACATGTGTATCACAGTCTCACAGGGTTATGTGAGTGAGAGGCATGGGGCCAAGGGAATCATCATGAGAGAGTTGAGCTGCCTGGCAATTAGGGAATGCTCATGCAGCATTCTGTTATAGGTGCACGAGGCGAGTGTGGATAGACCATTCTTTTCATTATTTTGGGAATTAGGACCTAGGAGAATCTTTCCCTGGATCTGAGGTATATTCCTCTGGTTGTGTTGCCTTTCTGCTGCCGTAACCCAGGGAAATTCCTTCTGTTGAGGGGATCTTCTCTTTTAATTAGTAAGCAATACCTTATAGTTTGCATTTTCACTTCTGAATCTATCAAGTACACTGGTACAAGCGTTGTCCAATAAGTATTGCACACACTAACATATTTTTCTCTAACATTGATAATAATTTTTGTTGACAGGATTATAAAATTATCATGGTTGACTTTCTATTGACATGTTAATGTCTTAATTGATGAAACGAACAGGAAGGGCCTGAAGTTCTGAAAAGGTCTACGCCGCTGCCCGTTTTGTGTGTGGAAGATGGGATGGAAATTTTACGCTTCTCTGAAATCTTTGGTATTTATGAACCTTTAAGAAAGGGAGAAAAGAGAGAGCACCGGCATTCCACTCCTAGAGGTATTTACTTAGAGATAGGGAATGTTTACTTGGATTTTGTTTGCATTTGCAAGTGTAAGAATCTGTTGAGTTCTTCTATGAGAGGTGTGATCAGAAAACTTAAATAGTTGCCCCAAAATTTATACTGTCATGTGATTGAAATTTAGAACTGGCATTCGTTAGATTTGAATGCCAAAATGTGATGCTAGCTTTCTTCAGTATTTGTTGTTATGGCTTCGGTCCTAATTGGCTCTTTTTTTTTACTCTTGTATTTCCAGATAGATATAAGTCTTCAGATTTATCTGATGATATTGTAGAAGAGGATGAAGAGGAATTTCTCAAGTGCTTTTCTCAGAATCTCTCACTTACTAAACAGGATTGTATAGTCTGTAATGATGTATCAGAAAGCAATGATGTTGACTTGGAATTTCCGAAATTCGGATTTCTTCACAGGGATGTCTCAATGGCTGTGAAAGATGATCGACAATCAAAGGATTCTTATCTTAGTGCTGAACCAATGAAAGGGGATTTTGTAGATGATCTTTCCATGAAAGATCATCCTCTCACGTGGGCCAACTTTTATCCTCTTGATCAGCGAGACTGGGAGGATGATATCCTTTGGGGCAATTCTCCTGTTGCAAGTGACAATAATGTTGAGAGCTATGAAATTTCTGGGCCTGAGTTGGGAGTTTCTCTTGGCAGTGAAATAGAAATTGAAAGTGGGATACAGAATCTTCAGTTGGTGCCCCACAAGATACTCGAGGACAAAGATCATAATGTCTTCATGTGCTGCTCTCCTGTCTCATTGGAACCCTTTGGATCAAGGGATTCTTCTGGAGCTACAACCAATTTGTTGTCCAAAAGTCTATTTCATCCCCAACTTTTGAGGCTACAATCCAGATCTGAAGTGGATAGCTCTAGTCTTGCAGATGGAGGGGGGGCGGATATGTCTGAGAAGCATAATCAAAGTGGTCAAGTAAAGCATTTAACCAAGTTTATGTCACATAACAGAGACATGATGGAGGACTCCTGGTTAGACAAGATAATATGGGAGGAGCTTGATCGGCCTAATGTGGAACCAAAGCTTATCTTTGATCTTCAGGATGATCAAATGCACTTTGAAGTTTTGGATAGCAAGGATGGCACACATCTTCGCCTTCATGCTGGGGCTATGATTTTAACTCGTTCTTTAAAATCAAGCAGTGGGGACTCTTCTGAGCTGCCAGGACATGGGGGTCAATATGGGTGGCGACACGTTGCTAATGACAAACACTATTCAAACAGGAAAACCTCTCAGCAACTGAAATCGAATTCTAAAAAACGCTCAGCTCATGGTGTCAAAGTTTTTCACTCACAGCCTGCACTGAAGTTGCAGACAATGAAATTGAAGTTGAGCAAGTAAGTTTTTGTTTATTTGGGCGAGTCGGTTCTTGATGGCATTGTTTTTGTGTTTTTTGCACTTTTGTCTGTATTTGAGACATTCTTTCTCAGTGAGAATATTATGTTTTTTAAATGAAGTTCTGGTAAAATCTTTTCTTACAAAGTACCTAGCTGTTGAAAGCTTGTTTGATGTTTGTGGCTACTTGATACCCAATATGGTAAAGCACCTTGCCTCCATCCAAATGTTTTGGGATTTCTGTTTTACTTGGCTTAAGCCCTATTCTTGAAGAACAATACTTGAGTCCACAGTTTTTTATAAACCAGGTTCATATGGAAGAAATTGTACATATTCATCTGTCTTTTTGTGGGTGAACCTTTGTTGGTACAGCAGCGTTTTTAATAAATAATTAGTCTGTAATCCACATCTATGAAAGATCAATCTAAAAAGTTTCTGTCTGTTAAATTGACAGAAAAATAAGTAAATGTATTGTTACTTATTAGGAATAATTGTGCATGTGTTACCAATATATATGTCTCTTTGACCCCAAACTTTATATTATGGGCTATGATTATTGTTGAGATATATAAAACCATTAATGTAGCCTCACCGAACAGCTTAAGCTTTTGGGTTGAATTGGTTCTTTACAATTATGTTCATGGCATCTCATTGATGTTCTTCTCATAACAATGTCAAGGGTTGCTATTTTTGATATCAGATTGATTGATTGGGCATCATTGCTGCATTCTTGAATTTTTTATCCTTGTTCCTTGTTGTATCTAGAATTTTTTACTTTGGATGATATTTTATTCTGTGTAGTTTTACGAAAAAGAAGTATTACCAATACACATTTTGAAAAACAATATCAGCCAATTTTTGTTTCATGATTATATTTAACATTTGTTTTATGTTCCCCATTGTGAACTGTAATGAAGGTCTTCATTGGTTATAACATCTGACACATTCCTTAGACTAGCCCATTCTATGATCTGTCAGTTGCCCATAATAATGTTAGTATGGCTTATGCCACTTATCAAGTTCTTGGAAGACCTTTCCTGATTTGTGTGAGTGGGGCATACCAGTTCTTTATTTTTATTTGGTCCTTCGAAATCTATTATCTACACTTACATTGTATATTTTTTGTCTTTATAATCTTACTAAAACTTCTGCAGTAAAGATATTGCAAATTTTCATCGGCCTAAAGCATTATGGTACCCCCATGACAATGAGGTGGCTGTCAAAGAACAAGGGAAATTACCAACACAGGCACCCATGAAAATTATTATGAAGAGCTTGGGCGGCAAGGGGAGTAAACTGAATGTTGATGCTGAAGAAACTCTCTCTTCTGTTAAAGCTAAAGCTTCCAAAAAGCTAGGTTGTCAATTTTGTTTTTCTCCTTTCTAAAATTTCTTCTTTCTATAATAAAATATATTGAGATCATAATTTAACTTGCTGTTTTCATTTCCCCCCCTAATATTTTAGTTTTCTTTGGCTCTTATTCTTGTCTTTAGTTTACTTTTCCCTCCTCTTTATATGACTGACCTGGGATTTTATTTTGGTAGATTTCAAGGTATCAGAAACAGTGAAAATATTTTATTTAGGGAGGGAGCTTGAAGATGACAAATCCCTTGCTGCACAAAATGTTAAACCAAACTCCTTGTTACATCTTGCCCGTACGAAGATACAATTGTGGCCAAGGGCACAAAGGGTTCCTGGTGAGAATAAATCCTTGCGTCCTCCAGGGGCATTTAAGAAAAAGTCTGATCTGTCTGTGAAAGACGGACATGTTTTTCTGATGGAGTAAGTGACTTAAAACTTTTATTCTGCTAATTTGTATGCATGCTTTCCTTTGGAGCAAAGTTATTTTCTTATTTTGCAAGCATGCATACTTCTTGTTCCATGTACTAAGTTTCTTGTTTGTGCTTTGCTTAGTGCTTTTTCTTTCTTCAGCTTCTCTAGCATGGAAGTTAGGAAAGTTTGTATTCAAATTAATCTTATGGCTTTTTGTTTATAAGAATATTTGTTTATAGAAAGGAAATTTTATTAGAGGAAAGAGAAGTACAACTCGGGAGGATGAGATATTCTCCAAAACAAACAAACTGGAGAGCCATAAACTGTAAAAAACCCGATGTAGATGTCAAATATCTTCGTATACTGTTAAACTCCTTCAAAGCAGCCTTGTGCAGAGAGCGTGTTACATAGGAAAGTCATAAACGTAGCCCATCAACATATGTAGAAAGGGGTCGCTGAGTTATTTCTTTTGCATACTTTCATGGTCAAGTAGCTGTTTTCTGGGTCCTTTCTGTAATTGGTATTTGTAGGGTTATTCCCTATGTAGCACCGACATGACACAACACGACACTCCGACACGTCAATCCTAAAAAAATATGGATTTCGACACACTGGGACACGTTTTAATATTAAATAATATTTTTAATTTATATAGTGTATATTTCATTTAATATTCAATTTTTTAACAAAAAAATGAAAATAAACTAATAATAATCATAAAAAAATATTATTTAATATTAAAACTGTAATATGTATTAAAAAAATAAAAAACAAATATTCAAATCACTTAAATTAAAACTGCAATATGAAAGAATAAAAAACTTAAAAATTGCAATATGTATTAAAAAAATAGTTTTAGAAATTCCTTAACGGTAATGATGTTATGCGGTGGGCTTTTGTGGTTCACTTGAATTAACAATATTCAAATCACTTTTAGCTATAGTAAAACAAATGCAAATACCACAAAAAAAATAAAATGATGTACCACAGAGTAAACAATGGAGACTCCACACTGAAAAAGCGATGGGAGAGAGAGTTATCATATCAGAGAGAGAGATTAGAGAGAGAGAGACCAGATCAGAGAGAGAGAGAGATTAGAGAGAGAGAGAGGTCAGAGCACTTACCAGTAGTTGTGAAGAAGGCAGAGCGACGAAGAAACGAGAAGGAAGAGCCCCAATGGCAGCGAGCAGACCACAACTGCAGCGAGCCAAGCGAACAACAGCAGATGAGGAAGAAGAAACTAGCACGAAGAGCCACAAACCACGAAGGCAGCGAGAAGCGATGGCAGAGCTAAGCGCAGGTAGCGTGAAGAAGAAAGAGAGTTAAGGTCGAAACGTTTAGGGTTTACTTTTAAGTTTTTATTAGATGTTATTTTTTTTGAATTTTAATTTTATTAATATATTTTAATTTTTTTAAAAATATGATGTTTTTACAAAAATGCCATTTGACAGTGTCAGACATGGTCAAATTCGCGTGTCGAAATGGTCAACGTGTTGGGAATGTTTGACTTCGTGTCAGAGTGTATCGGCGTGTCGGACACGACACTCCCTGTTTTTTAGCGTGTACGTGCTTCCTTGGTTATTCCAGATTCTTTGATTCTCTCTCTCTCTCTCTCACTCTCTTCGTGTTTGTGTGTGTTGGGGGATGGGAGTGATGAAGGTTAGGAGGAGGATGGTTTGTGATCAAATTTATTATTTAGCTGCTGTGAGGAAGCGTTTTATTTTGAAGATAGAGAATGACAATTTTGAGTTATTTTTTTCGTAGATACAGTGCTATAGCGTGTTCTCTTCTGATTGATAAGCATCCTTCCCATCATAAGGCCTCCACAAGCAGTTAGCCAGAAACACTTTTCGTAATTGAACTTACTCAGAGAGCCTGCTTTTAAGCATATATTCCTGGTGCTCAAACAATGCTTTTCCTTTTTGTCTAACGATTTGTTTATCTGTTCAGACTCCTTTTACTTCTTGAAGCATGCACCTACTTTCTTCCTCATAACTGTTAGAAATAATATTAATCTATTATTATTAGAATAGTCTAGATTGTGGGCTTGGCCCATTAGGTCTTCCCATTAGGTCTTTTAGTCTCTATAAATAGAGAGCCTTCTTGTACAATTATACACACTTGAATATACAATAATATTCAGATTTAATTTGGTATCAGAGCTCTGCTTCCGCATATATATCTTTTCCTTTCTTATTTACTGCCGTGCATCATACCGGCAAACCCTTTTACCGCCGTGCATCATACCGGCAACCTTTTTCAACCTTCCGAACATTGTTAGACCCTTTTTCGATCTCAGATCGTCATCCTCCTTCATTATTTGACCGGAAAACACTGTTCACATCGCCAGAAACACTGTTCCGTCACTGTTTATCACTGTTCCGGCCACCTTTCCGGCGAGAAACCACGCGATTAGGATCCCCTCACGCCGGCGACCGTTTCTGTCCAAGACTCGTCCCAAACGGCCGCAGCACGCGCCACCACAGCCGTCTGCGCGTGGGCCTCACGCGCCACCTCTCTCCGGCGCGTGTGCACTGTTCCGGCCACCTTTTTCGGCCAAACCAAGGCAGACAGGCTCGCCTCTGCCTCCTCCTTCCTGATCCGGTGCCCGTTCGTTGTGGGTCTCTTCCGTTCGGGGGTTTCCAGTGCAAAAGTTGCTACTTTGTTCCTTTTTCGCGTGACTTTTACCGTTTTTTGTTCGTCTGATCGCTGTTTCTAATGGAAGGAACCAGTAAACATCCTTCCGGCATCATTTCAAGTGCTATTCCATCTATCACAACTCTGAAATTGACCGGATCTGCTACTTACAAGACCTGGTCTACTTTTGTTAAGATCTGGTTTACCGGTCAAGGCCATGACAAACATCTCACCACTAAGAAGACTGATATTTCCAAAGATCAGACGTCTGAATGGGAGAAAGTTGATGCTCAGCTCCTCAGTATTCTTTGGCAATCCATTGATTCATCTCTTCTCAATATTTTCATTCCCTTTGAGACCTGCTATGATGTGTGGACGGAAGCCAAAAATCTCTACAACCAATGTGGGACTATATATCTCAACATTAGTTGCACATACAACCAATGTGGGACTATATATCTCAACAATAACAATTGCTTGATTGCATTATGGATCTATGGAATTTCTTTTCAAATTTTGGATCTTTGACTCTGGGTGACTAAATTCTGGAAGTACCTTTTTTGTACAAAATAGCTTTCCAACTTGATATTCTGCTTGCAGTAATATGTAGTTTTGTATGTGTGTATTTCAGCTTTGATTGGAATTTTAAGTTATTCTGAAATGGTAATATGTAACGGTTAATCCTCATCTTAAAACAAATTATTGGGAGCACTGAAATGCACATTATTTTCTGCCTGGAATTCATAGTGAGCATGTCCTCATGAAACCAAATCTAATGTATCCAAGAGCAATGTTTTTTTGGCACTGCACTACCTTGATTTGAGATTTTGTTCAATAAATTTCTTGTCTGCAATGGTGATACTCATGTTACTTTGTTTTTCTTTGGTACTTTGTGTGTTTTGTTGTATGAATGAGGATTGAGGATACTCCATTGGAAGCTCATTGAATATGTTCTCTTCGTAGGTATTGTGAGGAAAGGCCTTTACTTTTGAGCAATGTAGGAATGGGCGCAAGACTTTGTACATACTATCAAAAATGTTCACCGGATGACCAATCTGGCTCCTTATTACGGAACACAGATAGCAGCTTGGGGCACATTATTTCTCTGGATCCTGCTGATAAATCTCCTTTCCTTGGAGATTTAAAACCTGGTTGCAGTCAATCATCACTTGAGACAAATATGTATAGAGCACCCATATTTCCTCATAAAGTTCCATTAACTGACTACCTGCTGGTTCGTTCATCAAAGGGAAAGCTGTCGTTGAGGCGCATCGATAAAGTTCATGTTGTCGGGCAGCAGGTCTGTATATTCTTGTTAAATGCTGTTTGTGGAGTTAATAATTGTCTTCTTTTAATTCTGTAAATTTCAGTTAATGATAAGTTGAAGGAATTTCATTTTAAGTCTTTGAATTATTGTTTGGTGAAACCTTTGATGGATAGCATGTTTTAAGCAGTCACAATGTGTTATTTATCTCTGATTAGCTTTTTCTTGTTTGATACTGCAATTTGCCTACCAAATCACTGGAAATTTCTCAATGGCAAAAAAAAAGAAAAAGAAAGATGTAAAGTTCGTAATTGTGATGTAAGCTAATGTATTATTCAAACACTCTTTGCAGGAGCCTCTCATGGAGGTATTATCACCTGGAAGTAAGAATCTTCAGACTTACATGATGAACAGGCTACTGGTACACATGTGCCGTGAATTCCAAGCAGCAGAGAAGCGACATTTGGCTCCACACATCCGTATTGATGAATTTTTGTCACAGTTTCCTTACCAATCAGAAGCCTCATTCCGTAAGAAAATCAAGGAATATGCCAATTTACAGGTATTGGTGGCTCAGAAAGCTTGTTATCCTATTAATGTATACTAAATGAATGCTAATAGAATTCCTTAGGGTATTTTTGGTTGAAAGAAATGTTTTTTGTTTCTATTTTCTATTATTAGTAATAATTACAAAAATGCCACATTGTTTAACTTTAGTTTCTGTTTTCGAAGATTTGTAATAGTTTTAACCTTTTCCTATACAAATCTTTGAAAACAAGAAATAAAGTGAAAACAAGGTCACATTTTTGTAATTGTTAGTGAAATCAGAACATTGAACCAGGACACATTTTCTGAAGCCAAACGGGACCTTATTTATTTAAGAAAGAATAAAGAGAGAAAGAGCTACTAAACCTTGACTTACAAGGGTAGGGGTGAGGCTATCCTTATATAATTTTATTTTGGAAAGAAAATGAAACCTGACTTACGATTTTTTTCTCAAAAATAAAATTATATATATATATATGCAGAAAATTTCTGCAAAATGATTTTATTTTGGAATTTATGCGATTTGCATTACAATCTGATCTATATTTCTGATTATGTTTTCTATATACCTGAATGTTTCGTTCAATATAAATTACTGCAGAGGGGAACAAATGGACAGTCAATTTTGGTTAAAAAGCGAAATTTCCGCATGTGGTCGGAGGATGAACTGAGAAAAATGGTGACACCAGAGCTTGTGAGTTATATCACATGACATTCAGTTTCTTTGCTGATTAATTAAAACATAACTTTTTGTTGAAATGCAGTATTAATAGTAATAGAGAAGATTATCTTTAAAACATGCTAAGAGGTTTGGAACTTGCACTGTAAAATTTATTCCATCAATTTCATGATTCAGGAGTTCTCCTTTTTGGTGCACTCCTGATGGTGTGCTGTTAGGTTGTTGAAAAAGTGAGGTTTTGAAAAATTATAGGGTTTGTTTGTGTAGAAAATTAGAATTCAAACATGTTTCCGTTTTTATTTCCTATTAATTAGGATTGATTATGATTGATTAGGATTGATTGTGATTGATTAGAATTGATTGTGATTAGGATTGTGATAGGATTGATTAGTCATCGCTTAGTCATTCTTAGCGATTCTTTCTTGTATAAATACTCACTCATGTAATTTATTCAATATCAATATACAAAAACTTCTTTTCAATATGGTATCAGAGCGGGTTCGTTCCTACCCTAATTCAAATCTGAAATAACCATCCAAACACTTCCATCACCGTCAAACACCTCCTAAACACCTCCTTGAATCTGTCCAACACAGAAACCTAGTTTACTGACCTCCGATCAAGAAAGTGAGGTGACCATTCGACTCAGAAGGATCCGACGAGTCGACTGCCGCTGGACCCATCGCCGTCAGCCGCTGCACGCGCCGCCACGCGCGGTCACACGCGCGGCCAGTCTCTGGCGCGTGAGCTCCACGCGCCGCCTTCCAGACGTCTTTTTCCGTCGCGACTTGCACATACCTTCTCGCCGGCTTCTCCCCTTCCTGTTCCAAAGGTCAGATCAAAAGTTTACAAAACTTGATTTTTCATCAACGGTCAACCCTTCTCTTTTTATTCATGGCTTCCTCAAAACACTCTTCCGCCTCCTCATCTGCCCCAAATTCTCAGTCCTCTGGAGACAACTTAGGTTTGCAGATCACCAATCACCGGTTGAACGGTAAGAATTTTCTGCAATGGTTTCAATCTGTTAAGTTGGTCATCCGGGCAAAGGGTAAGATGGGCTATCTTGAGGGAAAAATTAAGAAACCTACTGAGAATTCTCCTGATTATGACGATTGGGAGATTAATAATTCCTTGGTCATGGCTTGGCTGACTAATTCCATGGAACCACAGATTGGCCAAACCTATCTGTTCTTTGATACTGCCAAGGAAATTTGGGATGCTGTTCAACAAAATTACTCCGATCTGGAGAATACCTCTCAAGTTTTTGAACTGAGAAATAAGTTGAGAGACTTTCGTCAAAGGGGTATGACTGTTACTGAATATTTTACTGCACTAACGAATTTATGGCAGGAATTGGATCTTTATTATGCATCTGATCTTAAGGGATTGGAAGCTAATACCCAATTTAAAAAACACTTGGAGAAGGAAAGACTGTATGATTTCCTTGCCGGACTCAACCGAGATCTTGATGAGGTTCGTGGTCGAATATTGGGGCAGCGACCGTTACCTTCACTTGCTGACGCCTTTGCTGAAGTTCGTCGAGAAGCCAGTAGACGGAGAGTTATGCTGGGAGAAAAGGAGTCGCTTGATAAGTCTGATGATATGTCTGCATTAGCTGCCAACCGTACCATTGACCGTTCCTCCGGAGAATCAAAACGGGATGGTCGTCCATGGTGCACCCACTGCAATAAAATTGGTCATACCCGTGAGAAATGTTGGGAAATCCACGGGAAACCTGCAAATTGGAAGCCCAAAGGACAAAATAAAGGTCGTGCATATCAGGTCTCTACTGATGACAAGGTTGATGAGCCTCATGCATCCTCTGACTCTGATGGTGTCTTTCTTAGCAAGACTCAGTTTGAACAACTTCAGAGACTTTTGACTCAACCTCCTAAGGCCACTAGTCATGTGGTCCAGCAAGGTACAACTTTCCATGTTGATAGTCAAAATCATTGGATCCTTGATTCTGGAGCCTCTGATCATATGACAGGTAATCTTGGCTTGTTTTGTTCATACACTCCATATTCTGAACCTTCTCGGGTCAAGATCGCCGATGGCAGTTTTTCCCAGATTGCGGGACACGGAACCATTAAACTTTCTGAGCTGATTACTTTGACATCAGTTCTTTATGTTCCTTCTCTGACTTGTAATCTCATTTCCATTAGCAAGCTCACCTCTGAGTTGCATTGCTTTGCTAAATTCTTTCCACATGGTTGTGTTTTTCAGGAACAGGACTCGGAGAGGATGATTGGCAGTGCTAGAGAGGATGGTGGACTTTACTACTTTGAGGAGGATGTGACTCATGAAGCTGTTTTCGTCGTAGAAAAAAACTCTATGTTTCCTTTTGATTCATGTAATGATGTTATGCTGTGGCATCGTAGGCTAGGCCATCCAAATTTTATTTATCTTCAGAAGTTGTTGCCAAACTTATTTATTAATAAAAGTCCAAGTTTGTTTTCTTGTGATATTTGTCAACTTGCCAAGCATACTCGTGCTCATTATCCTTCTAAAGTTCACCATGACTCTTCCCCATTTTCCTTAATTCATAGTGACATATGGGGTCCAGCCCGTGTTAAAAATATTTCAGGTACTCGATGGTTCATTACCTTCATTGATGACCATTCTCGAGTCTGTTGGGTGTATCTTCTAAAGGATAAGTCCGATGCTGCATCCGTGTTTAAAAAATTTCATGCCATGGTTCAAACCCAATTCCAAGTTGCTATACAAATTCTTCGTACAGATAATGGCAAAGAGTATTTTAACTCTATTCTTGGAGAATATCTTTCCCAACATGGCATCCTTCACCAAAGCTCGTGTCCTGACACACCCCAACAAAACGGAGTTGCGGAAAGAAAAAACCGACATCTCCTTGAAGTTGCTCGGGCTCTTATGTTTACCACGAGTGTTCCTAAATATCTTTGGGGAGAGGCAGTTCTCACTGCCTCGTATCTGATAAATCGAATGCCATCTCGCATTCTGAAATTTCAGTCTCCTCTTTCTAGTCTTGTTCGTATCTTCCCTTCCTTCCGAGGTGTCTCCTCCTTACCTCTCAAGTTATTTGGTTGCGTTGTATTTGTCCATATTCCCTCCCATCAACGGTCTAAGCTTGATCCTAAGTCTCTCCAGTGTGTCTTTATTGGTTATTCTCCTACTCAACGTGGCTATAAGTGTTATTCACCCTCTCTTCGTAAGGTCTTTGTCTCTATGGATGTCACTTTTTCTGAGAATGACCCTTTCTTCCCCTCGACTTCTCTTCAGGGGGAGTCTATAGGAGTAGATGAAGATCAGTCATGGGAACCTATTAATGCCACAATATTACCTCTATTTTTGGAAACAGGGGGAGCTACAGAATCCTCACCATCAGGAGCCTCCTCAAAATGGGGACAAGTTTATAGCAGGCGAAAGCCTCCTCAAAGTGTGAATAACCCAGAGCCTCTACACTGCCAGGATTCTGAACCATGTTCTAGTTCCAGCACCCCAATACTTGAGTGTCATGGTGAAAATGATCTACACTTGCCCATTGCTCTCAGAAAAGGTACTCGATCTTGTACTACTCATCCTATTTCTAATCATATTTCATATGGAAAGTTGTCCCCAGGGTTTCGTGCTTTCAATACTATGTTGGATAGTACAAAGATATCGAGAAATATACATGAGGCTCTCAATGATAAAAAATGGAGGGATGCTGTCTTTGAAGAAATGAATGCTTTAGAAAGAAATGGAACTTGGGAGATAGTGACCCTACCCAAAGGAAAAAAGGCAGTAGGATGCAAATGGGTGTTTACAATAAAATTCAATGCAGATAATAGCATCAACAGATACAAGGCAAGATTGGTTGCAAAGGGTTTCACTCAGACTCATGGGATAGATTATCATGAGACTTTTGCTCCGGTTGCTAAAGTCAATACCATCCGAGTTCTCTTATCTCTTGCTGCCAATCTAGATTGGCCTCTGCAACAGTTAGATGTGAAGAATGCATTCCTAAATGGTGACTTACATGAAGAAGTCTATATGGATCCTCCACCTGGTTTTGAAAAGGGAAATGGATCAGTGTGTAAACTAAAAAAGTCTCTATATGGATTGAAACAGTCTCCCAGAGAATGGTTCGACAAATTCACACAAGCAGTCAAAAGAAGAGGCTTCATTCAAGCACAGACTGATCATACTCTCTTCCACAAACACTCTAAGGATGGTAAAATTGCTATTCTTATTGTATATGTAGATGATATAATTCTTACAGGTGATGATATTGAGGAATTGAACACCTTGAAGAAATTTCTAGCAGCTCAATTTGAACTCAAAGACCTTGGCACTCTCAAATATTTCCTTGGTATGGAAGTTGCTAGGAGCAAAACAGGCATCACTCTAACACAAAAGAAATATGTTCTAGATCTTTTGTTGGAAACAGGAATGTTAGGGTGTAAACCTGCTGAGACACCTGTGGAACCTAATACCAAGTTAGGTATTGAAGATGGGAATGAGGTGGATAAAGAACAATATCAGCGATTGGTTGGTAAACTAATCTACTTATCTCATACGCGTCCTGACATTGCCTTTGTGGTGAGTATGATTAGTCAATTCATGCACTCACCCAAGGAGAAACATCTTAGTGCAGTCTATAGGGTGCTTAGATACCTCAAGAATACTCCAGGAATAAAAAGGGGTATAAAAGGACAATTGAAATCTACACTGATGCAGATTGGGCAGGCTCATCAGTAGACAGGAGATCTACCTCAGGCTATTGCACCTATGTGTGGGGAAATCTTGTTACTTGGAGAAGCAAAAAGCAAACAGTGGTTGCAAGAAGTAGTGCTGAAGCAGAATTTCGAGCTTTAGCTCATGGAGTTTGTGAAGGAATCTGGTTGAGAAGACTTCTTCAAGAGTTGAAGATTTCATATTCCCTACCAATAAAACTATATTGTGACAACAAGGCAGCTGTTAGCATTGCTCAAAATCCTGTGCATCATGATCGAACAAAGCACGTGGAAGTTGATCGTCACTTCATCAAAGAAAAATTAGATGATGGAAGTGTGCGTTTGATATATGTTCCAACCAAAGAGAAAACGGCAGATGTCCTTACCAAGGGCCTACACCGTCCAGCATTCGAAGACTTGATTGGCAAGTTGGGAATGATCAATATTTACCTCCCAACTTGAGGGGGAGTGTAGAAAATTAGAATTCAAACATGTTTCCGTTTTTATTTCCTATTAATTAGGATTGATTATGATTGATTAGGATTGGTTGTGATTGATTAGAATTGATTGTGATTAGGATTGTGATAGGATTGATTAGTCATCGCTTAGTCATTCTTAGCGATTCTTTCTTGTATAAATACTCACTCATGTAATTTATTCAATATCAATATAAAAAAACTTCTTTTCAATAGTTTGATTGTATTATGTTTTTTTTTGTTCTTAAAAATTGTTTTGTAGAATAGTTAATAAAATAGATATTTTTTGTGTTTTTGTTTTGGAAGTTAAAAGTCAAAACACAAAACAAAAACAACTGAGATATGGGGTCTGTGTGATTGTGTTCTGTTGTTTTTCCCCCCTCAAAACTGTTTTGTAGAATTGTTAATGAAACAAGTATTTTCTGGGTTTTTTTTCTTTTGAAAGTTAAAAGTCAAAATACAAAACAAATCTCTAATTTTGATTCTAAAAACTAAAAAATAGTGATAATTTTTAGAACTATTTTTACAAAACAGACATTACCAAACAAGTTTTTTGTTTTTTTTTTGTTCTGAAAATTAAAAAACTGCTTTTAAGAACTGAAATCAAACAAGCCCATATTTTCTAAATTTGATTCTAAAAACTAAAAGACAGTAATAATTTTTAGAACTATTTTTACAAAAAGGACTTATCAAACATTTTTTTTTTTGTAAATAAAATCAATAAACTGTTTTTGAAAACATAATTCAATCAAGTCCATAAATATTGCGTTTTTATCCTTGTGTCTGCTCTTTGCCTTGTACTATTTTATGATTTTGTAAGTTTCAGGGACTAGAAATTTCAATAATATTTTATTATATACTCTACATGTTGCGTAGCTTGGTTGTATGTGTGTGTTTTGAAAGTGCATTAACTGCTTGTGAGTGTGTGTCCAGAATCTTTGCTTTATTGTTTCTTTGTTATAAGACGTATCTGTTACATCTGTTAATATGATTCTTTCTTTGTTTATATTCATTAAAAATTGTTTTAGGTTTGTGCCTATGAGAGTATGCAAGCTGGCCTCTACCGTCTAAAACATTTAGGAATAACTGAAACACATCCTACTAATATTTCGTCTGCAATGAGTCGGCTTCCTGATGAAGCAATAGCACTGGCTGCTGCATCGCACATTGAGAGGGAACTGCAAATTACTCCTTGGAACTTGAGTAACAATTTTGTTGCCTGTACAAGCCAGGTGATCCATGTTTATTCTGATTTTGAGATTATTTGGCATTGGCATCCATCCTGTTTGTGTGTTGAAAATTTGTTAATATATGTCAATTTGGTTTTTTTGTAGATAAAAGTGAAAATATAAAAAAAGAAGAGGAAAAATAAAAAATAAAAAAATAGAAGAATCGATTGCCAAGGAGCAACAAACTACTACATAATGATCTCATTGTAGCTTATCCTTGTTAGATGTGCATATAATTTCTCCATTAATGAGTTGCTGACTTGTATAGTTCCTTATTAGTAACATTTGCACTACTTGTTTATTTAATTTTATGCAAGAGTTTTGTTGAGATATATAAAAAACCATTAATGTACCCTCATCCAACAACTTAAGCTTTTGGGTTGAATTGGTTCTTTACATGGTATCAGAGCCTCGGTGTACCAGGTTCGATCCTCACCGCCTTCCACTTTCTTTCTAGTGGAATTTCTTTCTTCGCACAGGTAGGTGGGCTGTGCATTGTCCACCCTTCAAGCCCAGTGGACTCTCGTGTGAGGGGGCGTGTTAAGATATATAAAAAACTATTAATGTAGTCTCACCCAACAGCTTAAGCTTTTGGGTTGAATTGGTTCTTTACAAGTTTGAAGCTTGAAAATGTGCTATAGTTTTTCACTCAGAATCTCGTGCCAAGGCCCTGAAAATTGTGTGTCCTCTAACATCTTACTTATCCCCTTTCTTCCTTGCATCCCAAAAATCAAAAACTTTATCTTTTTAACTTTTCTCTTTTATATTTTGCAACCCTAAAATTTAGTCAAAAAATCGAAGTTTGCAGCAGCATGTCATAAAGCTGACCTCTTCTGTAATGTTATGTTGAAAAGAAGATGCTTTGCTTTGAGATTTTCATGAATTAAGAGTTAGTGTCCTGAAAGCTATTAGTCCTAGTTCTACATATGGCCTAGAATTACTGCAATTCTTCCTTTAATTACCACAATTCTTCCATTCTGAGTGTCATATAAATCCAATAAAATTTGGGTGCAAGTAAAGTAGATATTGCAGTTGAATTTAGATACATGCAGCAAAAGAATTCATGCATCCATATACAATTGATTTAGTTATAATTTACTTCTATGGGTAGAATTATTTGACTTCTGTACTTTATTTTATTTTTCTATTTTAGTGTTTTGAAATAGGAATTATGTTTTCAGAAGATGGGGATTTTGTAAATAATATAAAGAAAATTTACTACACTGTGATGATAATGTGTTTGTTATTTTTCCTTCTCGTAATTGACTAATTTAGTCATGAAAATTTCCATCCCCCTCCTTCCCTGGAATTTTTTTTGGTAGGGTAAGGAAAATATTGAACGAATGGAAATTACTGGTGTTGGTGATCCATCTGGTCGTGGAATGGGTTTTAGCTATGCTCGGGCACCTCCAAAGGCACCAGTGTCTAGTGCAACGGTGAAGAAGAAAGCTGCTGCTGGCAGGGGAGGTTCCACTGTTACTGGTACAGATGCTGATCTACGTAGATTAAGCATGGAGGCTGCAAGAGAGGTGTGTTGTGTTTTGGTGATCTGCTCTGAACTGCTTGTATTTAGTGAACCATTGAGCTTAATGTTAAAAAAAGACTTTTCTTTTTGGCAGATGAATTTTTTCCTCACATTTTGTACTTTGTTAGTGAGATTGTAAATAAAGCTGAGATGAGGACAGAATCTTGAAATAAACTGATTTACATGTTGCACATGAGAAAAAAAAATTAGTGCAGCAAATTGGATTAATCCATAATGAATATGAATAGGGGTGCCTGAAAAAAAATGGATATTTAATTTTGATCGATGCCTTAGTCAAGTGATTCATTTACTTGAATATAAGTAGGCAAGTATTTCACAAGAACTGGTGTGTTCACCTTTCATTCCCTTATCCTTTTTATTAAACTCAGACCTACATTTGATAAGTGAAATTGATTTTGTGAAATATGATTGTTTTGCTTGTTGGTATTCTCTTTTATATCTATTTTCAGTATTTTTTCCTTTTTGTGCAGATTTTTTCTCACACATATTAAAGTACTTGCTTAAGAACCAAATTATTTTCCACATATATGCTCCACCATATGAACCATCCTTCTCAAAACATTAGTTGTTGAGTGAAAACAGATGAATGGTTTTATATTTCGTATTTTCAATGGTTTTACATCTAACAGTGTCCATTGTGCTAGTTTCTCTTCTTAGTGTCTAGTTGGCTTCGGACTGTTAGTATCATGAGGGTATAGCACAGCTTATTTAATCCATAGGGATTCCTGTTGGTAATCTCAAGTGCTCTTACTTCAGGTTCTTCTCAAGTTCAATGTTCCTGAGGAAGTCATTGCAAAACAAACCCGGTGGCATCGCATTGCTATGATACGCAAACTTTCAAGTGAGCAAGCTGCATCTGGGGTTAAGGTTGATCCAACAACTATCAGCAAATATGCTCGGGGCCAGCGAATGTCCTTTCTTCAGTTACAGCAGCAGACCCGAGAAAAGTGCCAGGAGATTTGGGATCGACAAGTTCAGAGTCTGTCAGCTGTAAATGGTGATGAAAATGATAGTGATTCAGAAGGGAATAGCGATCTAGATTCTTTTGCTGGAGATCTGGAAAATTTACTTGATGCTGAGGAGTGTGAAGAGGGAGAAGAGGGTACCAATGACTTAAAACGTGATAAGGGAGATGGTGTTAAGGGTCTTAAAATGAGAAGACGCCCAACTTTGGCCCAGGCAGAGGAGGAAATAGAAGATGAAGCAGCTGAGGCCGCTGAATTATGCAGATTGCTTATGGATGGTATGATATCTCATTGATCATTGAAGTATTTTATCCAGACCTTTATTAGTACTGAATGTGGGAACATTGATCTTCTTACTGCTGTTCTGATGCAATGACCAGAAGTTGTTAATTGGATCACTATTTTGAAACTGAACTCAGATGTGCTACTTTTCAAATCTGACATTTTTTGGCAATATTTTATTCAGATGATGAAGCTGACAGGAAGAAAAAGAAGAAAGCTAGAGTTATCGTGGAAGAAGCAAGACTGGTACCAAAGCTGCAATCAAAATTCATCTTTGACAACACTGAACAAGTTAAGCAAAAAACAAATACTTTGCAACTAGATGGAACTAATCATTTGAAAGAGGATGCAATTACAGATCTCAGGGAGGTAAGACAAAAACTAGTTTAGTCACGTTGTCCTGTCATGTGCATCTTCTTGTTTAGCACACTTATTTCACAGTTTGTGAGAAGATCATGTCATAGATAGTCCTGTAAACAATTAATTTCCTACCAATGTGGCCTAATTATTTTATTTTATGTGTTTTTGGCAGGAGGAAAACTTCCCATCTAAAAAAAGTAAATCAGTGAAGGTCAATAAAGCAAAGAAGAATGATATCACACCTATTAGTCTACCCAATAAAAAAATAAAATTAAATATGGGAGAAGGAATCAAGGTAAGTCATTAATTTATTCTGTTGCATATCTCTCTTTACTCCCATTGGAAAACCTTTTTATATGGTTGAATTTATGTATAAAGCATTAGTATATGAAGCTGAAATTTTTGGTATAACAGTGCTTGTTTGATAAATAGAGCAACAAATGCATTCATGCCTGTATCAAATGTTTTTGCTGTTTTTTGTGGGTGTTTTTGCTATGTCTTTTAGTTTTATGTAAAAAAACATTTTATATCTTTTATATTCTGAATTGGAACTTTAATTTGAGTTGTGACTTGTGACTTTCGTATGTATTTTTCAATTGGAATTTAATTAAATGTTGTGATTTTAAGGTTATTTTGCTTATGTTATTTTATATGCATATATGTATGTTTCAATATAATTTTGTATTTTAGGTAGAATCTTATGCTTCGTCTTTTGATCTTATGTTTTACATGGCCACCCTCCCCCTTCAGAACCAATATAAGATCTCAATCTTGACCATGAAGGACTTGATGTTTAGAGAGTAAACTGGATATAATTGAAATTGTGTGTCTATAACAGTCAACTCATGGTCTCTATATATAATTTGGTGTTAATTACAATGATTCTATCCTAGATATATATAATACTGATTGATTCTACAATATATACATGATATCTTGTAAGATATTCTAACACTCCCCCTCAAGCTTATGCGTATATATGATATCTACCTAGCTTGTCACATGTATAGTTGACTAAAGGGCCTTTAAGAGCTTTAATGAAGATGTCTGCAAGTTGATCATTTAAGTGTACTAATGTTGTTGCGATCTCCCCAGACTGAATTTTCTGTTAACAAAGTTGTAGCAATCCATTGTGTTTAGTCCTTTCATGAAAGATAGGATTTGAAGATATATGTAGTGCAGCCTAATTGTCACATGATTTTTATCGATTAAGGTTCTCAAATGTTCAATTCTTTGAGCAACTGTTTTAACAAAGTGAGTTCACCAGTTGCAGTTCCTATTGCTTAATACCCAGCTTCTGCATTTGATCTGGAAAGAACAATTTACTTATTGCTTTTCATGAAATCAAATTCCCTCCAAAAAGAACACATTAACCTTAAGTAAAGCACTTATTTGAAGGAGAGTTTGCCTAGTTAGCATTTGTATAACCACAAATCTCCGTATGTACTTTATTTTCATATAGTAAGTCTCTCCTTGTATGATGTATAAAATATTATGACATCAATATCCCAATGAGAGAGAGTAAAGAAATTGGCTTACCACGCTTACTACAAAGGAAATATCTAGCCTTGTTGTTGTAGGGTAAATTAATTTTCCAACTAGTCTTCGATAATAACTACAATTTGACGACGACTCTTTTTGTCTTGGTAGAAGTTTGACATTGGGATCTATAGTTGTATTAATGGGTATGCACCCTTGCATGTCCGTTTCTTCCAATATGTCTAAAGCATATTTTTTCTGGGAGATGGAGATGTCATGTTTAGACAGTGTCACTTCAATACCTAAAAAATGAGAGCTTGCAGTGATCTTTGGTCTGAAAATGTTTGAATAAGTGTTGTTTCAGTTGTTCAATGTCTTCTCAGTCACTGCTAGTGATGACTATGCCATCTGCACAAACAAGATAGATGCATTTACTATATACTGATGCCGATTGAGGTGTGGTGAAGTGAGCGATGATGGGCTTCTGGATATTGGGCTTCATATTTGGCGGTTGCAGCAGAGGCTTGTTGGAAAGAGGTGCAGCAAAGTGGGCTTGCTAGTAATGAGGTGTGGTGAGGTGATGGAGAGTGGAGACTGTTCGGATGTGGTTGGGAAATTTTGTGGTCGCTGGAAAAGTTAACATGGCAGAGGCTTGTCAGAAGGAGGCACGACAAGACAAGCTTGCCAGTATTGAGGCACTACGAGGAGAAAAGGACTATTGGGCAGTTGGCATAGTGGGTTTGGAGATATTTGCCCCTGGATTGTTGGCATGCATTCATTGGAAGAGACTGGTTGAAACCCGCTCTGCTGTGAACTTGAAGTTTAGAGAATAAACTTGATATGTTTGAAATTGTGTAACAGTCCATACACGGTCTCTAAATGTAACGTGTTGGTATTAATTACAATGATTCTATCTTGGATATATATAATCCTAATTGGTTCTAGGATATATACATGAAATCACCTGAAATATTCTAACAAAGGTCAAATCCACAATTTATTGCCCCGTATTAAATGACGGAGAAAATCAGAAACATCTTTCTTTGTCTGAAACTGTTTTTAAGATGTCCTTGTGAAATTCTTTGGTGGATATTACAACTTTTATCATTTTTTGTTATATAATAGAACCAAATGCGTAGAAATAGACTTCTTGATGTTTCTTCAGATTGCAATGCATTATCTTGTTTTGTAGTTATCTTAAAAGCTTTAGACTTGATCTATGTGTTTGTGTGTGAATTTTGTGATTGTTTTCTTTCAAAAAGATTGTTATAATGTTTTCAATTTTTACTCCTGCTTCTGATAGCATCATTAATTTATGTCTGGAGAACCAGGTATTTAAGGAGAAAAAACCATCAAGGGAAACTTTTGTTTGTGGAGCATGTGGCCAGGTGCGTATCTTGAGTTCTTTACAACTTATTAGCCTTTCAGTTGTTCCAGAAAACTAGTGGTTGACACGTATTGCTTGAGGCTTAATGCTTTTGATATTTTTTTAAAAATTTCTTTAGTAGATATAAAGTTAATTGTAACTTTACACGTGTATTTTGCAGCTAATCATGATCAAGAAACTAAAAGAATTCTATATTTTCTACCTTAATAATTAATAAAAGTGATATATCAATGAACGTAAAGTAGATGGGTATTTTGTTTACCCAAAAAAAAAGAAAAGTAGATTGGTATTTTTATTTATGTAAAAGTCTTTGAACTCCGTGCTTTTATATATTTTATTGTTGTAATTATTCTGTTGATGAACCAGCTTGGGCACATGAGAACGAACAAGAACTGTCCAAAATATGGTGAAGATCTAGAAGCACAACTTGAATCTACAGATATAGAAAAATCATCTGGAAAATCTAGCTTTTTGGATCCCTCCGGTCAGTCCCTGAACAAAGCCCCCTCCAAAAAGTCAATATCAAAAAGCGCAACAAAAATTGCTCCAGTTGACAATTCAACAAAAATTCCAGTGAAGTTCAAATGCAGCTCAACTGAGAAATCTTCCGATAAACCTGCAATGGAAACCCTGCAGAGTTCTGAGAAGCCAGTCACTTCTGATTCAGAAACTGCTAAGGTTAATAAGATAATTATTCCCAACAAAGCGAAGCCAGATGATACGCAGGCTGAATCTCGTAAGCATGCTATTGTTATACGGCCTCCTACTGATTCTGGTAGAGGTCAGATTGATTCTCCTAAGTTCCCAATTAAAATACGCCCGCCTTCAGAAACAGATAGGGAGCAAAGTCATAAGAAGATTATTATAAAACGTGCGAAGGAGGTTATTGATCTGGAACTGGACAGTCCTGGTGGAAACACAGGATTTGAACACAGGAAAACTAAAAGAATTGTTGAATTGTCGAATTTTGAGAAGCACAGAAAGCAGGAGGCCATGTATTCAACTGAAGGTTTGGTAAACTGGAAAGCTAAAGAGGATAGAAGATGGTGGGAAGAGCAAGAGAAACGGAGAAATGAAGCAAGACTCAGAGAAGACAGAACAAGGAGGCATCACAAAGAAGAAATCAGGATGCTCAAAGAGCAAGAAAGGTTAGACGAGATAAAAAGATACGAAGAAGATATTAGAAGAGAGAGGGAGGAGGAAGAACGACAAAAAGCAAAGAAGAAAAAGAAGAAAAAAAAGCCTGATTTAAGAGATGATTATTTAGATGACCTCAGAACAAGAAGATATGACAAGAGGATTGTAGAAAGAGAACGGAGTGGAAAAAGGAGATCTGTTGTTGAGTTAGGAAAGATTGGTGCAGATTATAATATGCCACCAACAAAACGCCGAAGAGGGGGAGGGGGAGAGGTACATATTCCTATGCTTGTTTTTCTCTCTCTTTATTTTGTGCTTGTTTCACCTCCATACTTAAAGATTTATTTACTAAAATTATGAGATATGATTTTGAAAAGGGTGAGCCCAGAGCAGTGGTAAAGCTACTCTTTTGTGATTGAAAGATTACGAGTTCGAATTCAAGAAACAACCTTTTTGCTAGTCGGGTTTAACGAGGAGTGGTTTGGTTTGGTTTGTTTGTGAGATAAAATTTTGGTCAGAAATAGTTTTGGATTTATTTTTGTATGGCTGTGGTGGTAGGTCTTTTTGATTATGTTTTTGTAGCATAGCTTGTGTATTTCACTTGGCTTGGGTTGTATGTTAACTTTAATTTTCCTGAAGGTTGGTTTGGCAAATATCTTGGAGAGCATTGTGGACGCCATTGTTAAAGATAGGTATGATCTGTCTTATCTTTTCGTGAAACCGGTGTCAAAGAAGGAGGCTCCTGACTACCTGGATATCATAGAGAGGCCTATGGATCTTTCCCGAATCAGGGAAAGGGTACGGAATATGGAGTACAAGAGCCGAGAAGATTTTAGACATGATATCTGGCAGATTACTTATAATGCCCATAAATATAACGATGGGCGAAATCCGGGAATTCCTCCGGTTGCAGATATGCTTTTGGAATATTGTGATTATTTATTGAATGAGAACGACGATAGCCTCACTGCTGCTGAAGCTGGTATTGAAACTCGTGATTTCTAAGTGATGTCAGATTCAGATCATGATCTGGAGGTTAGGTAGATCTGTTCTAAATGATTTTGATGTGTAGTGTAAGTTTTGGTTTAAAAAAGAAAGGAAAATTCCTCCTGTATTTTTATTTTTATTTTTAACGATGTCAAAGAGGGGTTGCAAGTTGCACGTAAACAAGGTGATAAATTGATAATATCACCATATAGCTCATTATTGGTGTCAAAGAAAATGCCCCCTTTAAGCATTCTTTTGCATGGTTAAAAAAAACAAAAAACTAATAGAATCAGTTTGGCGGACAAAAAGAATTTTTTTCCATATCAACAACTAGAGACATATATTCTTACTACCAGTAAAGAAAACACTCAAAATGATTTTTAGATTTCCATATGTTATTATTCTTTGTTATTATCTTTTAAAATTAATGCATTAATGATGAATTAATAGTGACTTTGGAATAGTTACAAGGTGAATTAATTATAGAAAATGAATGAATTATTTACGTGGCTAATTATTTTTTCAAATAAAGCAAGAGTGGGTTGGCTGTAATTTTATTACAGTTGTGCAATGTAGGTTTGCGCATTAGCAATGACATGCGATGTGTCAGATTGGATAAATGTCCCTGAATGATAATTTTTTTCAAATTTAATCTCAAATGGTCAATTAGCCCTAAAATTTGGCATTCATGCTAGTTACTTCAAATTACGGAACGCTCTACTTGAAATCCCCAGCTAACACCACCACTTACAATAATTAATTCCAAGTGAATTTTTGGCTTGTTCCCTTTGCTACTGATGCCAACATCTAGTTGGCATCAAAATTCTGGATTGTATGAAAGCGAAGGTTTCTTTGCCATTGTTTAGTTGGATTAGTCAAGAGATGACTCTTATCTGCAATATAAATGAAGCACCTATCTTTTTACCATTTGAAGGCAATGTTCTCGCAAAACCGGAATACCTGAATTATTTTGATGAAGGTTGCAATGATCCGGTGTGTAGGTTTCAGCAAACAAATCCGTATCAAACGCAACCTGGCTTTTGTTTTGCTACAAGATTAACATATTTAAACATTATGTTGCTATCTTGGTTTGATTGACAATCCGTAATTTACATTTTATATGTTGTTTATGGACGTGCACTTTCTCACATTTGACTTTTCTTTCTCTTCTATTATGCTTCAGATACTTGGATTAATTTCTTCTGGCCCCAAATTTTTTAGAACCTCTATTAAATAGGTAAAGTGGAACCACCCAATATGTGTGTAGGTCAAATGGCATTTTGTCACATCAGTGAATTGATTCCTGATGCCCTTGGGAGCATAAGCTTAAGCACTGCTCATTTCTTGAACTCTCTGGGTCACTATCATAACTTGTGGTGCAGCCTCTGCGCTATCTTCATTAGAAGCATTAAATTTAGATGCGGTCCTGCTGAAATTGGAACACTGGTGAACATTAAAATTGCACGCTCCTGTGAAAACTGCTAGACACTGAGGATTCAATGCATACTACTAGAAACTTTTTTATTCCATAAATTCAATCAACGTATAATTATTAACGAAGTCAAATTCATGAAAAAAATTAAGGTGTCAACAAATAAAAAATGAACACATATTTTTAATTATACTAATTGAGATATTATAAAAAAACTGAAATTACCAAATTGGAAAAATGAAAGCTAGCAAGAACCATACTCTAATTTGGAAAAAAAAAAAAAAAGACCTGATATTTTTTTTGGTTTCTTACCAAAAAACATACAAATAAATTTAAAAAAAATCCAATGTTGGTGAAGCAGCCAAATCTGTTTTTTTTGTTTTTCTGTTTAGTATGCTATTTTCAAATTTCAAAACGTGCCTTTTTTCTTTCTCTCTCTCTCTCTCTCTCTCTCTCTCTCTCTCTCTTGAAACTCCATAGCTACGAACTCCACTTTCTGAGCTCCATTCTTCTTCAACCCACCAACCCACATGTGATTACGCGCACGAAACCATGTCCCTCCTCAGCAGATTCTTCTACAAGAGACCCCCAGATGGCTTGCTCGAATTCGTCGATAGAGTATACGGTAAAAATCTCCCCTTTCATTCCATTTTTCCTTTCAAAATTTTTCTCAAAGTCCCCATGCTATTTTCTCCGATTATGCAGTTTTCGATTCCTGCTTCTCCACTGAAGCATTACCCGACGGAATGTACCAACTTTACCTTCACGAAATCGTCACCGAGTTGCACGAAGAGTTTCCAGAATCTTCTTTTCTGGCCTTCAATTTCCGCGACGGCGAGAAGCGTAGCCACTTCGCCGAGGTTCTCTGCGAGTACGATGTTACCGTTATGGATTATCCGAAGCAGTACGAGGGTTGTCCCCTTCTGCCCTTGTCTCTGGTTCAGCATTTTCTTCGCGTTTGTGAGAGTTGGCTTTCTTTGGGGAACCACCAAAACGTGATTCTCTTCCACTGTGAAAGAGGGGGTTGGCCCCTCTTGGCGTTCCTTCTTGCTAGCTTCTTAATTTTCAGAAGGGTTCACAGTGGTGAACGCAGGACCCTTGAAATGGTGCATAGAGAGGCACCTAAGGGTTTGTTGCAGCTCTTGTCACCCTTGAACCCTTTGCCTTCTCAGCTTCGTTACATTCAGTATGTGGCAAGGAGGAACATTGTTCCTGAGTGGCCACCACCAGAGAGGGCTCTGTCTCTGGATTGTCTCATTCTTAGAGGAATTCCTGGTTTTGATTCCCAGAATGGGTGCAGGCCCATGGTTAGGATTTTTGGGAGGAATTTACTTAGCAAGGGTGGGCTTTCCACTCAGATGATTTATTCCATGCGCAAGAAGAAGAAGAGCTTGAGGCATTACCGCCAGGTTTGTGGTTTTCTTTTTTTGTGTTTGGTTGAGTTCATTGTGTTCGTGTTACTTTACTTCATGTGCCTATTAGTTGATGCTAGAATGAATGGGCTGTGTTTTTATCTCAGGCAGACTGTGATGTGATTAAGATTGATATTCAATGTTTAGTGCAAGGAGATGTGGTGTTGGAGTGTGTCCACTTGGATTTGGATCTGGAAAGGGAAGTGATGATGTTTCGCGTAATGTTCAACACGGCGTTTATTCGATCCAACATATTGATGCTGAACACTGAAAACTTGGACATTCTTTGGGATTCGAAGGAGAGGTATCCAAAAGGCTTTCGGGCTGAGGTGAGTGCATGTTTTAGCATTGTCTGGAAAACTAAAACTTTGACCACTTGTGTGTGATGGTTGTGATTTTTCCCTAGTAAAGTTACTGGTTATTCTGATCATGTAAAACTTTGAAATTTAGGTTTTGTATGGGGAGGTTGAAAGCATAAGTCCTCCAAGGGCTCCAACAACCATTTTAGATGGTGAGGAGAGAGGTGGATTGCCCATTGAAGCATTTTCAAGGGTTCAAGAACTTTTTAATGGCGTAGAATGGGTTGACAGTGGTGATGCTGCTGCTGTCTGGCTGCTTAAACAACTTACTGTCTTAAATGATGCTAAAGAGCTTTCGAGGTTGCAAGGTAAAGGAAGTTGGTATTCGTCACCTGCTGACTCTGAAGAAGAAAATAATGAATCAAGCACTGCTGATAGTTCAGATGAGGCCTTCGATGTTTTTCCTAAGTCCTCTTCTGATTCTTCAAAATTATTGACATCTGACACCCCTGATTTGGTCCATTTAGCTTTTGAGAACGGTGGTGGAAATTATGGAAATCTTACTTTAAGAACACTTGATCAGTCATTGACCGATTATATTTCAAGTAGGGAAAATTCTCCTCGTTCATCTCCACCATCGCCTTCACCAATTTCTGCTACTCAACCTCTGCTTCCAACACCAGCACAAGTGCCACCTCCTCCACCACCTCCACCTCCACCTCCACCTCCACCAATGTCTAATAAGGAGCCTTCTCTGCCTTTACCTCCGCCGCCCAATAAAGTGCCTCCTCCCCCGCCACCTCCTCTGCCACCCCTTCCTTCTCTTGGTTGTAACATTAATAATGCTAGACCTCCACATCCACCTCCTCCAAGACCTATACAGCCAAGTTTAGCTCCACCACCTCCACCTCCACCACCTCCTCCTCCTACTAGAAGCAGTAATGCCAATAGTACTCCTAGTCCACCTCCTCCAAGGCCTGTACAAACAGGTTCAGCCCCACCACCTCCACCTCCACCTCCTCCGGGGCCTATACGAACAGGTTCAGCACCACCACCTCCACCTCCTCCAGGACCTGTACGAACAGGTTCAGCCCCACCACCTCCACCTCCACCTCCTCCGGGACCTGTACGAACAGGTTCAGCCCCACCACCTCCACCTCCTCCGGGACCTGTACGAACAGATTCAGCCCCACCACCTCCACCTCCTCCAGGACCTGTAAGAACAGGTTCTTCCCCACCACCTCCACCTCCACTTCCTCCAGGACCTGTAAGAACAGGTTCAGCACCACCACCTCCAGGTTCTGTACGAAAAGGTTCAGCCCCACCACCTCCACCACCAGCTCCTCCAGGATCTATACGAATGGGTTCAGTTCCACCGCCAGCACCAAAGCCTCCAAGTGCTCCTCCTCCACCATCCGGTCCTGGTGCATCACCAGTGCCACCTCCATTTCCTGCAGCCAAGGCATCAGGTGTGCCACCACCCCCAAGCAAAGCTTCTTTAGCAACAGGAAATGTTGCAAGAGGTCGTGGTACTGCCATTGCTCCTAAGAAAACTTTGTTAAAGCCCCTACACTGGGTGAAAGTTGCTCGAGCAACACAAGGGAGTCTGTGGGCTGACTCGCAGAAACAAGATAATGAATCGCGGTACTGATTATTGAATTTTCATACAGATATCAGACTTTATTTTCCTAAGAATTATTACATAATCACTGGGAATTGTTATTTTAAGTATATTTGTTTTTTAAAAAAAAATTGTTGATCACATCGTGCACTGTGGTTGTGGGCCCATTTATTTAATTTGCTGTACCCCCTTCTTTGGATAGGACATATGAGGGTGGGATGCTATGTCCATTTAGCATTTCTGATTTGGATAATGAAAGTTTTTGTCAGGGCCCCTGAAATTGATATATCAGAACTCGAGAGCCTGTTTTCTGCAGCATCTGCTTCTGATGGGAGCAGTACTAAAGGTGGAGGTCGGCGTGGTTCTAATATCAACAAACCTGAGAAAGTACAATTGGTATGCTACTCCTCTTTGGCATAAATTATTATACCACCTATTGCTTAAGACTATCTATGCATGATTATAATATTCTATAATGGTAATTAGGTCTCACTGATATTAAAATGGCAATCAAGAGTAATAAGTATCTAAACTGTAGTCTCTGGGAGATTTTGTCTATTCTTGCTCATTCCATGGTAAATAAGAAAGGAAAAAGAACAAAAGAATTTATTCCTAAAAAGTTTTATCTTGGATTGTATTGATATACAATTTTCTATTGAAACAAATATTCAATATTGCAGGATGGGTGTTAAGATATGGTACCTCAGTATGATTATGTGCTATCTAAACCTAATTAAATGCAGATTCTGTTACGCTTTTTATTTTTGTCTGATTTATTTTATCTGATTAATAAAAGAAATATATAACTAATTTTTTTTTCCCACTGTCAGGTTGACTTGCGTAGAGCATATAATTGTGAAATAATGCTCTCTAAAATCAAAATTCCTTTGCCAGATATGCTTGTAAGTATTCCTATCAATTTACTTGGGGGTTTTCTGTTTACTCAATGAAATTACATATTTTATTTAAGTTTCAGATGTTTCTTTCTGTTGCTTCATATTAGATGTATCTTAAACTCACGAACATAAATGTATATTATATTTAGATAGAGCCCAAATGGTGTTGATTTATCCATGCAGCCCAATGTTGTTGTTGATATTGATATTAAAATATATTGACAAATCTGTGGAGTCAAGACTCAACTCAATTGTCGAAAAAGATACCTAGTGGGATTGGGTTTGGATAGGAGGATTCCTAATGCTCCTGTTCTGTTTTTCTCTGTTCTCCTTAATTATATTCTTCTTTTATAGTTAAAGGAAGAGTCCAAACATAAGTATCCAAATATAGGTAATAATGTCTTTAGCTGATGCTTCTAATTTTCTTTTGTAAGTTGTTTATTCTGTTGTTTTGTTTCCTTTAGGAGAACTCTCAATATCCTTCTATGTTCTTCTCTTATTTTCCTATACAAATTCTTCTTCTATGAAAAAGCTTCATAGAAGTGACTAATTTCATATTAAATCTGGAATTGTTTTGTTATGGAAGTCTTCTCTACTGTCAATTTTACAAAGCCATGTTTTTGATTTAGTATGACGTTGTAATGTACTAATGTTTATCCCAGTCTACTTTTGAAAGTTTACTTAGGAGATTTTATATTGCATCATCTTGGTGTTAGAGATTTTTTCATTGTTGTTGACAATGTCGTGTTTTTTTGGTAAATGACAATGTCATGTTTCACCCTGTTAGTTGATTAGACTGGATTTTTAGGAGATTTGCTGACACAGTTGAGGCATTAAATGAGGCTAATAATCTTTCAGTGGATTTCATTATCATATTAGGATTTTGTGAGCATTTCCCCATTTTATTTGATAAAAACTGAAATAATAAGCACTTTTTTGCCAAGAGTTCTACCTAATATTAAATATTAATTCTCTTCCATTTGTGACGTGGGCTGATTTTAAATGGCATTTATTTTCATGTTTGCCGCTCTCAATAGTTCTCATTTTTGTGGGTTTTGTTTTTGGTTCCAGAATGCAGTTTTGGCGTTGGATTCTTCTGTTCTTGATATTGATCAGGTTGAGAATCTCATCAAGTTCTGTCCCACAAAGGAAGAGATGGAAATGTTGAAGGTACTCCCCCCTTCTCCTACCTTGTGCAGGAACCTATCAAAAATTGTGTAAACTGCAATTTGTGACATTATTTAATATCGTAGTGTTTTGGTATTTCTGTGAATTGTATCTTGGTTTGCAATGTTTTAACCTTCATATTCTCTTGTCCTTGGTTCCAGTTTCAAAATATAGAATCATATGATTGTATAGTTGTTTGTACTTTTATAAATTGAGGTTGCCATCTCTACATCATTCAGTGACATTTGATATATTAGAAAGTGCATAAAGCATATTTTCCTATGATCTGGACTTTAGTTAATTTTGTTAGGATTTCAAATATTAATATATTGTGTTGACTTGTCCCATTTTGGTCAAAATAATATGATAGCCATAATAGAAGTTTTATATATTATTAAGTACTATATATAGAGAATTTCAGCTTAAACCTTTTTTAATAAACTGTAGACCTTCATAATGGTACATAAAAAATTGTTGAAAGTTTGCTTAAAAACTAAAATGGTTCTAAAAAATGTATGAGATGCTGCCTTGTCTAATAGGGAAAAAGGAAATTGTCTTTTTTATTTTTCCTTGCTAAAAAAGTCTTTCTGTTTTCAGAATTATACAGGGAACAAGGAAATGCTTGGAAAGTGTGAACAGGTTCTCTCTTTCTTGATACTGTTTAGTCAAACAATCCTTTCAAATTCTGTTTGTTGATTCTCACATTTTCTATTTTGATATCAGTTTTTTATGGAGCTGATGAAGGTTCCTCGAGTAGAATCCAAGTTAAGGGTGTTTGCTTTTAAAATCACCTTTTCTTCTCAGGTATGTTATCTAGGTTATGATTATCTATGTATAGTTTAGCATTCTATATTTCTATTGCTATTGATAATAATATTTCATGCTTAAATACTTGTTCTTCTTGCTTCTTCAGGTGAATGATTTAAGGTTACATTTAAATACAATCAATGGTGCAACCAGAGAGGTACAGTTTAATGGCTCCTAGTTGACAAACACGAAGGCATTATTGAGCTGCATCTTTATTTATGTTATTACCCATGCTTACAGGTGAAAGAATCTGTAAAATTGCGTCAAATAATGCAGACTATTCTTACTTTGGGCAATGCCTTGAATCAAGGAACAACACGGGGTATTTTGTTGTTAACTCTAATCCCACTTGTGTGTATTTTAAATTTGAGATGGATTTTTACTTCCTGTTTCACCTCAATATGATTGGCAGAATAAGAAAGCTTCTGGTATACTGTTTAGATTATATTTTCTCTGTTGTTCATTGCAGGATCAGCAGTTGGATTCAAATTGGATAGCCTTCTTAAATTATCTGATACTCGTGCAAGAAATAACAAAATGACTTTAATGCATTATTTGTGTAAGGTAGATATGCCAAAATCTTCAAATTATATTTTGCATTTTACTATTGTATCTTTAAGGTCGTTGCGGGATATTGATTGGCTGTTGGTGTCTTAGGACAGATTGGAGTATGGAGAGTTAGACTTTCCATGTTCCAAATGGACCATGTTTAGTCCTTTTCCCCTATATCTCCCTTTGCCTCTTTCTTTACCCCTCCTTTTTTTTTCTCTTTTTTCCTCTCAATCTTTCTTCTCATTTATTTATTCATTTATGTATTTTCTTCTTTTTTCTTTATTTTTCTCTCTTTCTTTATTTTTACATTCTTATTCTTTCTTTCTTCCTCTTATGTATCTTTATTTTCACTTTATTTTATTTTTCCTTTTAATTGTTTATTGCTATTTGTTTTAATGATTAGTGTTATATGTATATATATATTTTTAACTTTTTTTCCTTAATCTTTTTGTACTTTTCATTTGGGTTCATTTGCCACCGATGCCAACTGGTTTGGGATAAAGGTGTTGTTGATATTGATCTTTAAGGTTGTTGTGGTCTTCTCTGTCCCAATGTAAATATACTCAATAAATTATTATGTGAAAGAAAAGAAATTCCATTTTCCTCCTGAAAAGAGTTCTCTCTGTAACTTTTGATATTAAGGCTTCTCTGTTCTTTTTCTGGGCATTATTCGAGGCTTGTGGGTCACAATTTAAAGAAATCTGAATCTCCCGTTTTTATATACTTGGCTACATCTATCTCTCATTGAACTTGTACTTCTGGTATAAGATTGTAGTTTATGCAAGGTATTAACTCCCCTTTGCGTCACAGGGTAAAAAATAATTCTCTGTTGATTGAGAAGGGGCAAGGTTGCATTAATTTTGCCATGATGTTTGAGTGCTTATATCAGAGAGTCAACTGTAGAAGTATGCTTCGGAGACTACTAAGTTATTAGCTTTGTTTATGTTATTTAGTTTCCTTTAGCTTTACAATATCCAAGTTCTTCTATTTTATTTTTTCATTTCCTTTTTGTTCTATCCATCTTGTTTTCAATGTTTATGCTTCTTCTGGTCTTTAACATGTTCTATTCCTTATAAAAACTCATCATCTGTTTGCCAAGGATGCAACTTTGGATATGATATCTTACAAAGTTTTATTCTTGTCTCACTAGCTTCTTGCTGAGAAAATGCCCGAATTGCTAGATTTTGACAAGGATCTTGTCCATTTGGAAGCTGCGTCTAAGGTATTCTTTTGGTCATCAATGCTTTTCATTCACTTTCTTGATGATAGTTGTATTCCAGATTATCTTGTGTAAGGTTAATTGTTTATGGATTTGTGTACTCTACGTCCAATATCTAGATCCAACTGAAAGCATTAGCTGAAGAAATGCAAGCTGTGAGTAAAGGTTTAGAGAAAGTTGAGCAAGAACTCACTGCTTCTGAAATTGATGGTGCTATATCTACAGGATTTCGTAAGGTGAGGACTAAAAAATGGTGGCTTTTACACTATGAGAGATATTGCTTCTAACTGAAGATACTTCTCTACTAGAGAAAACACAAATGTTTGTCCCATTGAACACAATAGTGGCATCCTCAAAACTTGCATTTATTATTTTTGTTTTGATCCGTTCCTCAGCATCCTGACTCCCAGCCCCTCAACACACAAATGTACGCATAAAAGAAACAGAAGCCTCTGCAACAACTCTAGCTTGACTCTAATTCATTCTATGAAAACTCTAAAGAAAATCAAAGGGCATGCAATCAAGGCACCAAAACAAAACTAGATATTTCCTTTGGTTACATTGCTACATGATAAGATCTGTATGCAAAGTAATGCTGTGATCTTTACCAATAGATTATAATATTGTTAACAACTGTTAGCTATCATGCATCTAGCTAATTTTTTTTATGAATTGTTACATGGCTGTATGGCCCTGTGGGATAAACCTTGATTTGATTAATAAAATATTTGATTTTATCTATTCAGGATTTTCTCAGTACTGTTTCTCTTGTTCAGGTGTTGAAGAATTTTCTTGATATTGCTGAAGCTGATGTGAGGTCACTTATATCATTGTATTCCGAAGTGGTGAGTCCTGTTATAGTTATAGTTCTTATTTTCTGGGTGCTGTTCTAGGCTGGAAGATTGAGCAGGAGATTGCCTGCTCAGAAGAGAGTTTGATGTACCTTCCAGATAATAGTCAGGACTTGGGACTATGTTGATAACTAATTCTGCCAACTGCTACTTATTTCTTGTTTTTGGTCTTCATACTTTCTCTTTCAGGGAAGAAATGCAGATTCTTTGTCTCAGTACTTTGGGGAGGATCCATCTAGGTGCCCCTTTGAACAAGGTCTGTTGTTTTCTACAGTCTATACTCATGCACAAGGACTGAGTTTTTAACCCTTTTTTTGGTTGTAAATTGTAAGGATTGTTTAGAAGGGCCCATGTTTTCGGTTTGGCTTTAAGAAATTCAAAATTTTTCATTGCTTGAGCAGTGCGAATATGTCTGGAGGAAGAAGATGTCTAGATTGCCTTTCTATCTCCTTGGTTGTGTTGTTGTCCTTGTCACTTTAAGCTGTATAAGGATGATGAAAAATAGAAATTATAGTTGACTGCAAATGAGTTTGTGAAGGTCTATCCTTAGTAGAGATTAAAGATGAACCATATATCCTTCTGATGTGTGCTCCTTACTGATAACACCCATAAAACACTGAATTATTTTGTTTTTTAAATCTGTCAAGATTATGTTGACTGTTAAAGGTTGTGTTCTTGTTGCAGTGACACAAATCCTTGTTGTCTTTGTCAAGATGTTCAAGAAGTCAAGGGAAGAGAATGAAAGGCAGGCGGATGCTGAAAAAAAGAAATTAGAGAAAGAAGCCATGAAGGAAAGGGCATCAAATAACACGCATTCCAAAAAAGATGGTGTTCGTTAGATATTTAAACAAACAAGGGGCATGGTTACTTTCATTTCAAGCATACTGCATTGTACATTTTGGAGTGTCTCAAATGCATATTTGCATGCACCATTGGGATCCTATACCTCCTAAGAGCAACGCTGGCCGTTGTGCATATGGTTTGTCAGTTCCTTGTAGTTGGATCAAAATGCATCTCTACTTTTGCTGGTAAAGGAGTATACATCAATTCTGTAATTATACCACAAGGCAACTAATATAGAAAATTCATGTTATGTTCCTCTTTATAATAGAGGACATGTATAATTTTTATTTTTTTTAAATTCAAATTTTCTTGTACTTTTGGATATTGCCTTCTCAATTTGTAATCTAGCTGCAGATAAGATTTTGTAGTTCAAAAAACGCTTACGTTGGATATATGATAAGGAATTCTTTACTTGTATGATATATGCTATGGTTAGCAATCATTGTTATAGGTGAATAAAGGTGTTAAACCACAATGTGTTAGCCTGTGCAGATTCTTCTTTGTTTTGAACCGAAAACCCTTTCCTTAATTTGATTGTTTTTTTTTTTATTGAACTGAGTGTGGCTTGATAGATATGAGCATGTTCCAAAATTTTCATATAAGGATAATTTTAAACTGAATTTTTTTTTTTTTGAGCTGTCAATGTATTTTGATAATGATTACTTCGATGTAATATATGGTTATAAGGCACAACTGGAACGAGAAAGTGGGAATGCTGAAGTAGCACAGCACAGCGAGATCTGGAATATGTTAAAAGAGGAAGAGAATGAACATATGAATTTAAAATTTCAGACATTAAACTAAACCATGAATCTTTAAAGAATCAACCAAACCAAAACCTCTATTATCATGTGGCTTGACGTTTTGAACACTCAATATCTGGAACCAAATTGAATTTTGTTCATATTACCACATTCACTTGTTTTTCTTCATGAGATTGTTTAGTCCATTATAGACAATTTACAACTCTCCTGCATTTCAATTATTTGTGTTTATATACACTGTAACATGTGACTGACGGTAATAGCTTGAGACAAATATAGTGTTACATATATAATTAGTGAACCTGATCAACCGAGCTCAACCAGTCATACCAGTAACACTTGGAAAAACTTCAATTCAATTTGGTCCTTTAGGATCTTACATAGGAAGAGAAGAAGCTTCTTGTTCTGAGGCTCCTAATTTTTTGGCCTTCTCCTTCTCAAGCAAGTAAAGTCTCTCTGCTTCTGGTATTGCCCGTATGATTGTCTGCAACTTGAAATTTAACTCCTCCACCTTTTCCATGAGTCTGTCATTTGTAAACATGCCTCGAATAACAGTTTGGATGGTTTCCCAACTCTCCATTAGTGGTAATACAATTATCACAGCAGAACCAACAGTACCCCATCCTATAGCAATCACTGCCCAGAAATGGAAGTAGCCCTTGCTAAACTCCCCTGTGGTAATGCACAAACAAACCTAAGTTAAATTCTGTGACATTGAAATTATAAGACACCAAATCAGATATGTTACCACTTTTGAGGAAAACAAAGATTTTGCAGGCATGAAAAAGAAAATCATGGTCATATGTTAGCTAATGTAACTCAAAAGTTACCTGCTGGGAGGGAGAGAATAGGCCATAGTATAACTATCAAAACAGTGAAACCAATGCCCCACTTCACTATCCATACTTTGGCTCTTATTAACTTTTCTTCTTTAAACTCTTCTGCTGGCAGGTCAGTCTTTTCCTTTTCAACCACTGTGATTTGCTTAGTGGTACTCCAGTCATAGTTCTGAGGCCACAACATGCTGCACATAGCATGAACAACTCCTCCAGTTAATATAGAGACAAGGTTTCCAGCAAGCATTGGTGCATTTCTGCCAGTTGTATCAAGGTTTATCCGGCCATACTCTATTTTTGTAACTGACAACCATGTGATAATCCCAAGAACACAACCAAATATTGTTCCAAAAATGGCACCAATTGCATTTGCTTTTCTCCATAGAAGCATAAAAGCTATAGGAATAACTGCTGAGCCAATCAGAACTCCCATTGCAAGGTACATCCATCCTAAAGAAACTCCAGCCTTGTTCAGTATAACTGCTAGCAATCCCATGAAACTCCCGAATCCTAGAATAACACCCCTTGATACTCGAAGGATTTTCTTTCCACTTGCATTAGGATTTATGTAAGTACGGTAGATATCATATGTGCATAATGATGACACAGCAATTAGTTCTGATGAACCAGCAGAAGTCACTGCCCTGATAAGTATATCAAAACCATCAGAAAGTAAAACGAGGATGCTTCATAGTTTCCATACAAGCCTTATAGCAAATTAACTTGTTATGTTATTAACACTTTGTTATCCCAATCTTTTCAAGGCATATTAAAAGTATTTCTTATAGGAACCTTATTGTAACTTACATAAAAAGCATGGTAAGAAGAAGAATAGATCCTCCTTTCCCCATCAAAGCTACAGCAGTAGCAGGAGGAACAAGTCCACGACCTGCCTCACTTTCATTTATTGGTAAATCAAGGGCAAGGGCTCCCAAACCCAATGAAGTAGCCAAAGAAAATGGCACTGCAAACCAGACCAAGCCTCCCAACAAGTAGCCCTTGTGAGTTGATGAAGGTCTTGCAGCAATGGCGCTCACCCAATATCCCTAAACATTCCCCATTTGAAGAATCAGTAATGACAAAATCCAAATATTATTATAGAAAAAAGGAGCTTAAGATACAACCATGCATATTCATAGCTCATTTTTATTGTTTCACACTAACACAAATCAAACAAACTGAAAAAGGAAAGACAGATGTCTTAATTCATGCTTACGTTATCAACAAATACAGTGCCAAAGTTGCCAACGATGTTTATAATCCCAAAAACTAAGCCACCTGAACTCAGCATTGTTAGGTAAGAACCTCCATGATTCCCACTAACAGGACCACAAGATTGTCCATGGTGTGATATAGGATCTTGACATGCTCTTGATTTGCTTGCTACCTCAAGCAGGCGATTGTAAACAACAGTGGGGCTACCAAGCTCACTGCTAGCCGTATATACAAGGTAGACAAAAATGACCAAAACAACGTGCACTGAAAAGTTAAAACAAACAATTTCCCAGTTCAACAATAAAATACATGAATGTTGCAAAATGTAAACATAGTTTGGGGGGAAAAGTGACAAAAACTTAAGTAGAAACCTATGACAGAATGTATATAGCTTGCTAAGAACGTGGCCTTTAATCCACCAGCTAGTGTATAGACAATTACTCCAAGTGGTATTAGAAAGCTAGCAGCATAAATGTTCACTCCAGTTAATGCATTAACAACCGCAGAACCACCAAGGAGCAACATAGCCGTCACAATTATATTTGTCAAGAAGCAGAAAAAGAGGAATACAATGTGCGCAGAAGTACCCCAACTGAGGCAAAGAAAAGAAACATTGTTATCACTAGAGTGACAAAGAACTTGCACTTAAGCATTTAGCAACAAAACATGAAACAAAAAAACTCTAATTTATTTGCCAGTAACATACCGGGCTTTGACAATTTCACACACAGTATGAGCATGAGGAGCTTTTCTTTTAATCTCTATAGCCATTATTCCGAACAACATTACCTGCTCATTCTCAATGCATTATCATATCTCATACTTCACTTTCAAAATTTAGAAAGACAAAAAAAGAAGAAGCTATTTTCTGAGTAGATATAAAATATAAGCTTCATGCCTGAATGGTTGCTCCACTAGCATACCAGAAAGGTCCACTAACACCATACTCCCAAGCAACGTTAGAGCTTTGCAGGACTGTAGCAGCCCATGTCCACTGCACAAATTCATTGAAAGAAAAGAGATATGAAACTGGAACTACAGGTTTTATCTAAGTGTGCAATATGAGGCTATCTGAAACTGAATCCATTACCTGAGACACAATAACACTAGCAATGAGTCCTGTCTTAACACTTCTTCCTGCTGTGTTGAACCATTCAGAAGTGTGACGGGACCCAACATACCGCTTCTCCAACCATACCTGGTTCACAAGAATGTGTGTATCAAATAAATTGATCATTATTTATAACTAAAGAGTGGTGAAACTAGAAGTATGAAAGTATAGTTGTTATGGGAAAGAAAAACATGGTTTAGGCAGTGATTTTCTACTTGTACCACATATGAAAATAGAATCAAAATAACTAGAGAAAGAAACAGATTGAAGAACTACTAACCAAGAAAGAGGTGAAGACAGCAAAGAAAGCACCAAAACCAAGAATGACAGAATAGCCAACTCCCTGATTAAGCACAGGTTTTCCTTCAAAGAAACTGGATTGCCTCACACAGTCAACTCCATTTTGAGACACATGATAGTACTTGCCAGAAAATTCAAAGGGTGGACAGTGTGATGCAGAAGCCATGAAAGAAGTGCAGGAAAACCTTGCCTTACTTAGTTGCTGTTCATCTAATAAAATTAAAATATCTATACAGATATTCCTAAGTCTTCATTTCTTAGAAACCATATCATCAATTTTGAGGTTCATGTCTAGCTGGGTAGTAAGTCAAACTAAGAAGGAATCTAAAGTATTTTGAAAGAATCTACAGGATGGAATCAATCATGGAACTCATTTGTTTAAGTGTTGAATTTTGGACAATTGTTATTTTATCCGAATGTCTCAGAGTAAGGAGTATCTCTGATTGGATGCCCAGACTACTAAAAAAGCAAATAAATTTAACACATTATTATTATTATTATTATTAGGAGTAGAATATTGTAACAACCAATTGTGTTACTATCAATGTTACTGCCAATCAATTTAACTGTTAGATCGATTATGTTGATGAAACATTAAATATGGAAAATCATAACGATACAAAGATGAAAATAAATATTAAATATTAAATATGAGAAATCATAATCATACAAAAATGAAAATAAATATAACCGTTGGATCAACATAATCGATCTAACGGTGAAAGTAATTAGTAGTAACATTAATAATAACACTAAATGGTTATTACAATATCTTTTCCATTATTATTATTATTATTATTATTATTATTATTATTATTAGTATAGGAAAGAATTCACCGCCTCACTTTGGTACTCTCCATTATTTTATTTAAGTGGGCAGCAAATATGTTGTGCATGTTTGGATTCTCTCTTTTCTTAGTTGGAAACTATTTATAAGTAGAAGCTGAACCAAGCAGGTTTTGAGAAAAAACTCTTATAGTGAAAATCTTTTTTTTTTATAATGAAGAAAAAAACTAAAAGCCAAAAACTGTGAGGGGAGTTCTTTTTAAAGTTATTACAAGCTTTTCTTGAATTGTGTATTTTTTTTTTTTTTTAAATGAAGAGCTATAAAGATAGAGGGAAAGCCAATTTTCTTGAAATATGTATTT